AGTTCTCAGTATATCAAATAGAAACAAAATTTCTCTCTCTAGAGTCCTAACAGACACATGAGAAAACATGTAAGAAAGAATTTTCATGAATAAATTCATTAGAAATGCACATTATTCAAAATGCATTGAATAAGAAAATATCAGTTGCAGAAATGTTGTTGGGTGCTCATGATGCAGTCATCAACAACACTTTCCAGTCCTTAGGAATTGATACAGAACTATCCTCATATCATCCAGCAATTCATTTTCCTGGGGAAGTTAGCTGACCTTGACCACATGTGTTCGGGACCTGTTGTGCAGCCACTAACAGTAAGTTCTTTCATTCCCAGCTTAGTGAACGTGCCCATAGCACTTAGAATCCTAAAACATTCTAGGAAAGTTTAAACTTCACACCAAAATAGAATAAAAATAGCATCAGTTTATCCTGTGCTATAGTCACCTGAAGATGAATTTAGTCACAAGAAAATCGAATACCCAACTATCAAACTAGTGGGCCTAGGCCTCTGGTGCAATCCAGCATCAGCATAGCAGTATTAAGTTTCTTTACCACCGGCCCTGAGCCATGAGGTGGGTGTTGGTTGTCAGCTGGATATCAACATTTTTTTTTTTTTAATTCTATGAGATGCTGATAGCAAAGGCTGAGATTTACTGATTTCAAAAACCAGTAAACTATGAGAGTTAATTTTGATAGGAAGGTGCATGTATTTTCCTGCTACAGCTCATATTTCAATCTACCATCATTTACCCTAGCCTGTCCCCTAATTGGCTTCCTACAACACTTGGGCCTCATTCCAATTCACCCTCACATTGTAGCCAGAGTGATCTTTTGGAATTAAAAATACTAGGTGGCCTCCCCGGTGGCACAGCAGGTTGCGTGGAGCACTGTGAAGCTGTCTGTTACCTCTGCAGCACAGGTTTGATTCCTGGCTGGCCAAGGAGAAACCCACATGGTGTGGCAGACCTCTCCTGTCTCGCCTGCTGCTCCCCTCAGCAGTGTATTTTGGTCAGTCTGCCTGTTCTGTTCCCCACTCTGTCTCTGGTGGATCCTGTCACCCTCCCACGCCTCTGGCCTGTACTCCAGTTCTTGCATAAAAATAAATCAATCTTTAAAACAAATGAATATTTCTAAAAAAAAAAATATCAGGATGCCATCTCCCCCTAAGCCCTTGCTTATACATTTAATGGAGACCCGTTACTCTAAGGAGAAAGATCAAAATCAGAAATGAGGTCCATAAATTCTAAAATGTCTTTTTGTTTTCCCGCTCCATCCTCATTTCATAACATGTTCCTGCTCTGATCATCTCATCAATCTCCTTTAAATGTGCTACCCACTTTCTGCCACAGGGCCCTTGTGCATCTGGTTTTCTCTGTCTCCATTTTGCCTTGTCTCCCTCACCTCCACCTCATTCACTCATGTCCCTTTGTAAATTTATTCCTTTAGACCTTCTCAGCTCAGGTACTACTTCCTCTGGGAGGACTCCATTGATGTTCTCGATCACATCAGATTTTTAGCTCTCCACCTCACCCTGTTGTACAAGCTTACAATACCACATACTTCTACTTCATGTCCTCCTTCATATTACTCATCCCTTCTAATGGCTGTACTTAATCAAAGTCTATATGCTCATGAAAGCCCAGACCACATATGTTTTCTTCGGTTGATTGCAATTTACTTAACAGAGTTTCCCCATTTGGTGCCTGACACAAGGCAGACTCTCAATAAATAGCTATAGTTGGTTGAATGAATGAATGATCAGAGTGTCAGTCAAAGCTGGGAATGTGTGCCTAATCAAATGGGGGCCCACAACTTGGGCTTTCTTCCCTTTGTTCTATTTCTTATTTTCTGAAAGGTGTTGGCATTCCAGTTTTAGATGATAATTATAGCCCCAAGAAGTCAGAGGATGTTGACAAATGAGCCCCAAAGTGATGCAGTACAATTATTACGTTTACCAAGCCCACAAGAGTCCTGGAGGCAGAGTCATGGGTTCCAGTTCATTTGAGGCTTCAGCAGCAGGCGTAAAATCTGCTTCCTTCAGCTGTCAGAGGTGGCCCCTTGATACTCTTGTCTCCTAGTGCAGGGTGAAAGCCCAAAGGCCTGTGCCACATCAGGAGGCTCTGGGGACCTCACATTTGATTGGGGGATTCCATGCTTAGATTACATGAGTTGTCAGGTATATGATACACCTAATATTTTAATACCTTATATGAGATAGATGGAAGGCGGGGTGGAAGGAAATAGATATCCCTAAATCCCTAAAAGCCTGACCCTGTAACGGCAGCCTTACTAATTGGATGCACTAGTCCAAATGCTGTATTACTTCCTCCCTTCATCTGTTACATACATGGAGAACATTGTCGTGAATGGCTAATTATGAAAGCTGTCAGGCAGAAGACCAACATGACAGTCAATAGATGTTCAGACAGACAGAAGTTGGGAGTTTTCTGTAACTGACAGGATCTATGTTCAGATTCACAAAGGAGAATGGTAACTACTGGTCAAAAAGTGCAAGGCACTGTAGACTTAAAATGACAGCCAGAGTTAAACTTTTCCCAGTTGTATGAGTGGCTGTTGTCTCAAGGGAGGCTGAAGTAGAACCAGCTGAAGATATGGATCCTTGACCTCTTGCACATGAGGACCCTTATCTGATGTACACCGTGAACTCTAAATACATCTATCTCTATCTCCACCTGCCTGTCTACCTATTCATCCATCCATCCATCCATCCATCCATCCATCCACCCACTCACCCCCCCACCCATCCACCCACCCATCCATCTATCCATCCAACCACCCACCTAACCATCCACCCACCCATTCTCCCATCCATCCATACATGCAACCAACCACCAATCCACCCATCCATCCACCCACCCACCCATCCATTCATCCACCCATCCATTCATCCATTCATCCACCCATCCATCCATCCACCCACCCACCCCCCACCCACCCACCCACCCATCCATCCATCCATCCATCTATCTATCTACCTCAAAACATCTTGTTTTTTTTTTGTTGTTGTTGTTGTTTTGTTTTGTTTATTTTTTATTCCTTGGTTACCCTGTCTGGTCCTGCTATTCCCATCCTGTCTTAAATGTTTTCAGTTGCTCACACCTAGTTTTGGTTTAACAGCAATTTTCTGTTGAAAGTTCAGAAAACCTGAGAATGGAAATAACCAGAAACAGAATGAGAAATTGATCGTTCTGCACTGCTTGTCCAAATGAAGGACAAGTCAGCAAGAACGGTGACATTTATATTTATTAGTGAAGGGAATTCATGTAATTGCACAATGTCTGGGCTTATGTCTGGATATTTGTTTTGTCATTTTGAATGGAGTTTCTTTGTCCAGCCTAGGGGAGAAGTTTTGTCCACATCCTTACAGAGAGTGAGCTGCCAGGTGCCCCCCACAAAGCTTGGAGGGCCATAGATCAGAGGATTAGGTCACATAGATTTATAGGATTTGAACTGCTTTTCCTTTCTCTGTGAATTAATCTTTTAAATGTCAGTATTTTAAACTTGGCCTTTTCAAAAAATATGATGCCATATGAACCTTACTTAATCAAAAATACATTTCTTGCGCAAAAGTTTTTGGGTTTTTTTCCACCCCCCAGAAAATGGGAAATGCTAACAAAATGAGCAAAACAAAAAGCCTGTTAAAGAATGGTCTGTGTGTGAGGGAAGCTGGATTTGTTACTAGGGCATTAGAGACTTTGTTCCTTAAGAATCTCAACTATAATTCCAAGGGCTATTTTTTAAAAGGTCTGAAATATTATAAAGCAGACTTTATCTTCTGCACCTGTGGGAAATTTAGAATCATTTTATTATAATCCAGCTTTCAAAAGGATATTGCAGATCTTTTACAGCTGTATTGGTATATAGTGATTTTTTTTTTGGTGGGGAAGTTTACAATTACTAATCACTCGTGTATCTTTCATAACAAATCTTAAGTGAGCATATTATGCCTGTTTCATAGATGAAGTAACTGAGAACAAAGGAGGGCCCAGAACCTGCCTGAGGCATCCAGCCTATTAAAGGCATATAGGAATGCAAATAATCCTAATATGTAACTTCCTGATAGATGATTTCTACAAAGGGATTTTCTGTCTTTGATTAACAAACCAGGCCATACACAAAGACAGCATTTGAGAAATTCTCAAATTCCCAAATCCAAATGTTAAAAATATTTGCACATCCAGATGTTAAAAATAAATAGACAAATAAATAAAATAAATAAAGCCACAGGGGTCCAACCTGGAGGGGCCAGCAATGCATCCCCACAGCACCATGTCCCCTTGACAGTGAGTGCTGAGCAAGGCCAGACCTGAGTTCTAGACCCACAGCTGCCACTAGCTAGCTGTAAACCATGAACAGATGTTTAACCTTGTCCTGACTTCAGCTTCCTCATCTGTCAAGTGGATGAACATTGCCTGTTTTTCTCTCCAGAATAACACTCTGAATAAAATCAGATCATTTTGATGGTATAAGCTGCTGAAGTATAAAAAAAAAAAAATGAACTGTATCGTCATCTTAAGTGATAATCGGGCCAAGTCCAGCATCATGTCAGGTATAAAGCAAGGTGTCTCCCAGCCTCTTCAACCAGCTAGGGAGCCAGGAAAAAGGAGAGGGAGATCACACAGTTCTGAACATGTAGGATGTGGCCGTGACCGTGACAGGTGTCTCGTTGTAAAGCTGTGCACATGCACCTTGGACTGTGTGGATGATAAGACCATAAAGAGTCCTCAGAGGAACTGATGCCAGCTTGAAGATGCTCATCAAACTCATAATTTTCCAAACTTGAGCCTTTTGGTAGTCAGTGCCCTTCAGATTTGGAGAGTGTCCATCTTGGTAAACTGTCTAGGGGGGGCTCTCTTATGGAGGTGCTATCGGCACAGGGGGTGCTCCAGCTGCAGAGGGCAGCACCGCTGTCCCTGCTTGAGCCAGGCCCAGGATGCGCCTTGCCCCAGAGCTCTTATTCCCTTTCTCCCATGTTGTTTCTCAGGGTGACGTGCAGAGGACACTCATCCAGGTGGACTTTGGGGATGGCATCGCCGTGTCTTACGTCAACCTCAGCTCCATGGAAGACGGGATCAAACACGTGTATCACAATGTGGGCATTTTCCGAGTGACCGTGCAGGTGGACAACAGTCTGGGGTCTGACAGCGCCGTCCTGTACTTACATGTAACTTGTATGTTATTACTGTTGTTGGCTTCTGACATACCTTAAATAATGTGTCCTTTTGAAATATGATCCAAAGTTTCCTATCTGGAAAAAGCTTGCTGGTTACCTTGCAGCAGAAGGGGAAAGGAGAATAAGAGAGCCAAGTAGGGAGAAATTAAGATGGTCTCACTGATAGCAGGAATCTAGAAAACTTAAATAAAGGACCAGGAAAATGAATAACTATAAGAAAGTGAAAATCAAAATCAACAAAAAACTATGAACCAGAGACATTCTATGGGGGGTGGGAGGTGAGGAGGGGAGGGATTGGGGTCAAAATAAGGGGGTTGCAATTGTATGGGGAATATAAAAATAAAATTTATTAAAAAAAAAAAGAAGATAACCAGGGAGTAGAATTTAAATAATCTGAACCCTGGTTTGCTTCCAGTTGTCGCCCAGCACTTACTTTGCCTTTTCTGGGTGCCTCAAGGCACAACCCGAGTATCTGGAGCTGAGCCTGAGCAACTCACTGAGCTATTTGGGTGAATGTGAATTTTTGGGGGGAGGTGGCTCAGAAATGTCTGAAAACACCCCAGTGCATTGAGAATTAGCACTAGGAATTTCTCCCTACCTGATTATTCTTCTTTCCCCCATTATCTCTTTCTAGTAATCATTCTTTTTAGAATTTTGCTCTTAAACCTTGATTTCTTGGCCTTTATTCGTGGATGATTGGGTGTTAGAGAGAAGATGTTGTAGAAGGAAGAATATAAGCTACATTAAGGAAATTATGCTGGAAAACAGTTCCAACAAATGCTAGTGCTTTTCCCACATTGAGGGATCTAAAGGTATATATACTCAACATAACAAGGCATTGATAACTCCTCAATTGGGTTTGGTAAAAAATGTGCCGTGGATGCCTGTCATGGTAGGTATGCAGATGCCAGCAAACTGGCATTGACTTGGTTGCTAGAGAAATGGTTTACTTCAAAATGAAAGTAGTTCCTTTATATACATGGTCTTGTTCAAATTAATTTCAAGTTCTTCACCAAGGTATTAAGACAGGGCAGTAATCACCTGCCCCTTGTCTATCCAACCAAATTGAGTACAGATGATAGCATCTAGAATCTTTTCTTAAACTGCAGTAGTCCAGTGGGAGAAGACTGCTTGGGGATCCCCAAAAGGTTGTTAGTTACTGAGGATTCCTGCCCTCCCTATAATTCTCGACCTTTATCTCCTCAACACTCATAACAGAGTTACTTTGAAAACACACAGTCTTCCTTCTTCATTTAAACAAAGTTTTACAAGACTCCCAGCATGCCAATTCAAACTCCCCCTTTTCAGCTCAAGTTCATTAAACTCTTAGGTATGCCAAACATTGTGCTAAACTCTCTCTTTACGGGTATGAACTCACTGCTCCAAACAACCCAGTGAAGAGGGCGCTATTGGAAACTCTACAAAGAACAGGTACAGAGAGTTTAATGACCCATGTGAGTCTCAGACCTACTGCTTGGGAGAACCAGGCTTCAACTCGAGCCTGCCTGTTGAGAGGATTCTAGCTCTCGATCTTTTAAGATTGGCAGTGGTGGCTTGGGGTTACAAAAGCTCAGCCTCGCCAGCCCTGTCCCCCTCCACATCGCTGCAGGAACATGGGATTTAAGATAAAGTGTGTCCTCACTATATAAACACAAAGGCTCAAGAAACTTTTGAACACTTTTCTTCATTTTATTATCTAATCTATCATTCCTATTCCAGTTTTGTAATTTAATCTAATAATGTCCTTTTCAGAGACTTTCCCCCTCAAGTCTGGGATGAGGTATTAACTAGTAAATGCTGTCTTTTTGTGTCTTCCTCTTCTTTGCTACTCTCCTCAGAGTGTGCATCTTTATCAATATCCTTTCGAGACACTCAGTGCACATGCAAATGTTTTATTCTAAGGGTGGTGTCATGCAGTACAAAGGTGAGAAGATGTCTTATGGCCGTTCTTCTGTATCCTGCATAGCAAGACACTTTCATGGGCTCCCTTCCTGCTGACTTTCTCCCCTGAGCTGTTCTATATAGACTTTCTGCAGTTCCCTCTGATTGAAACCGAATTCCTCCCTACAGATCTTTATTTATGGGGCAAAATGCTGTTTATGATCTCATAGGGATTAACATCAAATCTTCTAAAAATACATCTTGACATCAATTATTAGTAGCAGAAATAACCTGCCATAGGAATGGGAGTTATGGGATCCAGATGGCGGCCCAAACTCCTGGTCCAGTGGCTCCATTTCTCTGACCCTGGATTTTCTCCTCACATGAGAAATGCACGTCCTGTTCCTCAAGGGTCTACCAAGCAAAATATGCTGTAGTCTGTCAACTGGTAAAGTCTTATTTTCTATCATCACAAAGTAGTAGATGCATCTATACTTAGGGGGCACTGAACAGCAGCTCCGAGCAGCCTTCCAAGCCTGCCCTCACTTGCTCCCTGCTCCCTCTGCCCTGCCTGGGGCTCTTCCAGAGTCCTCTCTAGAACACACACCCCTTCCACTCTCCACTTCAGAAAGGTGATTCAATTCCAAACAGAGGGTTATTTTTTTCTTATCATGGGTTTGCAAAGGTCATCAGAAACAAATAGAGATGATACTCCTGCCATACTATTTCTAGGCATGGCGACAACTCTCCCTGGGCAGTGGGGTAATCCAGTGTAGCCTGACAGCTAGGAACTCCTTGGGGATAGTCTTCACTGTGCTCTGCTGGCTTGCAAACTAATGAGACACATAGCTGCTCCATGGCAGCTGGGCTTGCCTTCGGCTGGTTGGGACAGAGAATTTGAGGACATGCAGATTTCTGCTCAGAAAACTTCCCTGTCTCAGCCAGTCTTACAGGAAAATAAATCCCTCAAGAGTATGACAACTTGTAAAATGGGAGGTGAAAAGAAAAGAAGAGGTGGATATTCCAGTTCTTCTCAAACTGTTCTTCTCAATTAGCCCCGACATAAGAGCCATTGGCAGATGTCTCTCTCTCCACCTGAGGACAAAGTATATATATATATATATATATATATATATATATATATATATATATATATTTGTAATGAGCCACCTGCCCCAGAATTACATGGTACAAAGGTCATGTGCCATAGCCTGTTGAATTAGCATTCCCAGCAGTGCAGCCTCATAATCTAGGAAATGCCATCAGTGTGATATCTGTATACACTGACGTTTTAGGAACTCTGTATAGAGTTCATCTTCATTTAAATTACTTTCATTTCTTCTAGTGGATTCTTTTGCATTTCAGACACTATGACACACAGACATTAAGTGGTGGTCAGAAGAGGTCTCTGGAACAAATGCAGATGCAAGACAAAGCCATTATATATGCTTGCACACACACACACACACACACACATACACCACGTTCAGTCTCACAAACTTCAGCTATTTCCTGCAACAAGATAGAGGAAACCCCTCACACAAATATTTCCCCACTTCTACCAAACACCTTGCCAGAAAGATTCATATGGAATGATGCATCGCCACCTGCTGACCATTTTGTACATTGCAGGCACCTGTGCGCTAGAACTTCTTCTGCTGACTTGGTCAGCTCTGGCTTAGGGCAGCCAGCCAGCTGGGGGCCTACAGGGCCACAGGTCTCACTTCTGAAGTTCCATTAACATCCATTTTGAACACCTTCTGTTCAAAACCAAGATGCTTAAAAGACAGGATTTGGGGCAGAAGGATCCAGGTGTATTAAATGCATAAAGAGCAAATGAATACAAGAAGAAGTAGGAATCTGAAAGGTAATGTTTGAACATTTATATGAATATAGATGTATGTATATGCAGGAGTAACATCGTACAAGCGTGTGTTCATATTTCAGGACCTACAAGCCAGCACGCAGGTGTCCTGTATGCCTTTCAGATCTCAGTAGCTTCCACTCTTTCACTGCTCTCTCCACTGCAGCCCTTGGGGCTTCCTTGCTGTTTCCTCAGTGTGGTCAGTGCTCCTCCTCTTCAAGGTCTTTGCACTGCTGTACTCTCACCCTGGAGCACCCCAAATTGATACTTGATACACACCCTCACTTTATTCAGGTTGTGACTCCAATGTCAGCTCCTCTGCAAGACTTCTCTTGTCATAGATGCCACTCTCTCACCTGCCACTGTGTGTGTCAGTGCCCACCAGCACATGGCTCCCCAGGGCCAGGCGTCCCCAGCATCTAGAACAGTGCCTGACACACTGTGTGAATGAAGGACCCTATGTCACTAACAAGACCCAGCTCATGTCATTCACAGGGCACGTCAGCAACATCTTTATCACTTTGATCTGACTTTGAAAATTAGTAAATACTCATATGTGAGCAAAACAAAGTAAATAGACCCCTTGACACTGGAATTACGTTGTCTAGCACAGCCTACTGAGTTTTCACATTCTAACTGACTTGATGAACTCAGAGCCCAGGAGTCAGGAGGAACAGCCTAGGAGGGGGGGCTCAGAAGTGACTTGGATACTGGTGGGTGCTGTGAGGAAGTTGTATGATGAGAGACCTGGGCATCAGCAAATCACAGCCCGCTGGAGCCCGTGATCGGATAGAGGGATGGGAAGAGCTCTGCAGTGAACGAGGGGGTCTGTGTAGACTGCATTTCCCAGTGCCTGGTGCCCATTAAGTCATTGGCCACTTACTAGCTATTTCCTTACAATGGGCCAAGGTCTGCTGGAGCACTTGTCAGCTGACCACAGATGGATGCTCAAATCAAACTGCTTCGGTTCACACTCTGGAATTGAAGTTGCCAAGGTCTGTGACTTTGGGAAGACTGCCTTCCTCTGCTTGTTCGTCTCTGAAAGGCGGTGGCTGTAGCGTTTGTCATGAGGACAGACATCTGTGTTGGGTCCTTGGTGTGGAGCACACAGGGTGGAGTAAGGAATGGGTTCCTTAGGGACAGTTGCTGCTAAGGGAGGCTAGCGCCAACCCTGTGGTTGAGGAACTGTAAGTGTGTAGTTTATAGTTGAAGGTCAGGATGTGAATGGGATTATCCAAATAAGGAGTGTGAGGAGGGAGGAGAGAGCACAGAGAGTGCCCTCCAAAATGCACTGAAAGTTCAAGCTAAAGAGGCACAGATCAAAGGTAGGAAGGGCTGAAGTACCCCTTTCTTTTACGCCTCGTTTCGTGATGATGTGGATGACAGCTTCTTGTCAGGCTCACCTCAGAGGAAGCTGTGTTTCTCCCAGGAACAGTCTCTCAAGGAGATCAGGGGTCATAGGAGAGGCCCTAGTGGGTCACTATAAAGAGCCCGTCTTTGTGATTTTGAACATTTGATTAAGGCTTCTGATCTCATGGACCTCCCGGGTAGAATCATCCTCTCACCTCTTGAGAAGCTGAGAACCCCAGAACTTTCTCTACTCATACATGCCTTTGTCCCAGACAAACTTAACACCAACCCAGTTTGTCCTTTGCCCACCTAACCAGGTAGCTTTGCACACTCACACGGACTCACACTTAGGCATGCTCTCTCACACAAATGCACTTACACTTACTCACAGATGTTTAAACTCCAAAAAGAATAAACAGGTAGAGTGCTTTGGGGTTTGTCCAACATAGCACCACTCCCCCAACCTGAAGTCTCTGAGATTCTCTTGATGCTACTCTACAACCAAGCAGATAACCTCTTGGAAAGATTTCTCTCTCCCTGTGAAATCTCATTGCATGCCTATTCCTTTGAAGACTTCATACATTACTTGTAAATTTAACATTTATAAGGAATTCAGGGTTTAGGCCTGGAAGAAAGATCATGAAAAATGTTGAGGCACGATTATTTACTACAAATCTGTTGCTTCACAGGAGGGAAAGCCCGGAGGGAGCCCTTCCCTCAGGGGGTTTGTTTGATGTTTTGGAGGCTTCAGAATGCACCTGTTGTCTTCAGAGCAGGGATGATGAGGCAGAGGAAGCGCTTCCCTGTCTATGGCTCTTCTTTTCTCATTGCCACAGGTCCCCTGGAGCACGTGCACCTGTCTCTCCCCTTCGTCACCACAAAGAACAAGGAGGTCAACGCCACCGCTGTGCTGTGGCCCAGCCAAGTGGGCACCCTCACTTACGTGTGGTGGTATGGCAACAACACGGAGGTGGGTCCCTCTGCATGGGGCTGTGCAGCTCAGCTCAAACAGGCTGAAGCAAAAAAGGGAATGAAAGGATGTAGGATGCTCCAGAGTTTAGTTTATTGTTGGGGGCGGCAGGCTCTTGGTGCTCCCATAATCCCATCACTGCGTCCCCTGCTTTCCCACACCTGACCCCTGCCCCTCACCGCTGCTTTCCAGTCTATGTTAGCATTCTCCTGTGGACCTTTCTCTTCATGGTGAGCCTTAGCAGCAGCTCTGCTTTATACCTCACAGCTTAGCAGAGAAAATAAACTCTCACCAGAGTTATAGGAGTTCTGGAATTAGTATTACTGGTCAGACTGGCCAGACCTTGATTATTCTGCTGAAGCTGGAGAGAGACGTGAGGTCAGCCTCCTTGAACATGGGCCAAGAGAAGGGGAAAATGATCCCCCAAAGGCAAAGAGGCAGGTGGATACCAGAGAGGCAGAAGCAACAGATGCCTCTTACAACCAGCCCCCCAGTAACCTCCTCACCCTGAATCAGGGGTGGCTCCTCCTGTGAGTCAGCTTTACCCTTTATGTTGTCCCAAAATATTCCCTGGGATTAAAAGTCAGCTGCAGTTATAAAACCAGTAGAAACCTGAATCCAAATTCGTTAATTTTCTGGACAAGAAAAGTGATGCCAAGGCAGAGGAAGGGCTGGCTCCAGTCTCGGCTTCTTGCTGAGTCCAACTCAGGACCTTCTTAAGCCTACATGGATTCATCTCCCCCTCTCATCAGGCCGCCTCTTCTGTCTCTGTTTTTATCTCATTCCAGTCTCAGAAATTAAAATTTGCTTCCAAATGTCAATTAGGAAGTTTTGTCTTTACCTGGAGACACCATTTTGCACAGGCTGAGAATAGGAGCCTCCCCTCCCATAGACCCACTAGGAGCTTGACGAGGCAAAGAAACTCTCACCGACACTGTTAACACAGCTGAGATGATCTCTTCCGAAACCAAGCACGTAGATTAGGCCACTAGGCCACAGACAGGCCCACTACCCACAGTGGAAGAGCAGACATCTATGTTGTTTCCCTGGAACTAGTGCTGCAAGGGCAAAGTAATAGATTTATTTTTCCTTTTGTGTCTCCTATTTATTTTTCCCCTTTTAACAGAAAAGCAAATTCTCAATGCACTGTCTTAAGTAGACTTCTTATGCTGGGCTTTAGACTTCCCTTTGCTATACAGGGAATTAAATGAATTTTGATTTTTAAATTAATTAAGAAAAGACAGGAAAGAAATGCTTGTCAAGGGAGGTCAGCAGGCTAATAATCTTATCCTCCAAGACTCCAGCATCCAATTGTATTACAGGCAAGACTCCAAGTCTTTTTTTTTTTTTTAAGTCCTCAAACCACTGTCCAATTAGTACTTGTTTCCATAGCAGCTACTTCCGGGAAACCACAGATAGGCCTCTCTCAGAGGAAGCCAAGCAGCACATGCCACTCCTGTCTAAGTAACGCTGTTTTGGTGCCTGTGGTTGCTGTGTGCCATTGTAATTATATATGGACACTATGCCCTAGAGATGGACAAGGCAGCTTATAAGTGTTCAGTGATGGCTTCTTAAATCTGGATTAATATGAGCCTCCTGTTCTGGGTCTCCTTTGACTATTTCCTTGGATTAAGGGACATCCCTTAATCAATATCCGTAGATTATCCATAAGAGACATATATCCCATCGCAGGCAACACTTGCTGATTTCCAGGCCCTGAGTCATGATTCTAGCAGAAGGGAGATGTCAAATTCATAAGAAATGGGCAGAGTCCTTGAGGGTATGGCTTTCCTAACCCCTTTCTGGCCTGGACCTGAGATGATGGGGTTAGTCCTACTAGACTGCCCCGGGGAAGACTCTCTGGGGCTCTCAAGACTTAAAAGTAGCTCATTAGCAACTTGTAACTAACTGTCTCATCTTTCCCCTTACACTGTGCCTCGTTCATTTTAGCCCTTAATCACCTTGGAGGGCAGCATATCCTTCAAGTTTACTTCTGAAGGGATGAACACCATCACAGTGCAGGTGTCAGCTGGGAATGCTATCCTGCAGGACACGAAGACAATCGCGGTGTACGGTGAGTGCTCCCCCTTCCTGATCCTCATTGCCTGGTGCTCCTATGGCTTTGTTGGATGCCACAGTGATGAAAGGCACCTGGCTTTTGACCTGTGTGTAGAGATCAGAGGGTCGTAGTGAGAAAGAGTAGAGGCAAGTCTGGTCTCCCCCTTTTGGGACGATGTGGTTCACCAGCAATACAGTGCTCCCAAGAACCCAAGAGAGTTTCTTGTTTTGTCTTTTCAACGTGGCTCTGGCACACAGTCTGTGAACTCATTCACCTTTGGTCAGGTGGAGTGAGTTTCATTGCATAAAGGTTAATTCAAGCCATTGGGAATTTTGGCGGCAGTTGAATAGCTAAAGTTTGTTATCTAAGATAAATGGTTAATACTGAGGCATTTCTTTGGCTTTTCAACTTTGCATATCTTGATTATTAAGAGGAATCTATCAATGTCTAAATACTTGGAAACCTCTCCCACAAATCTGTATCATCAAAATGTGTTGGAAGGGTTATAACAAGCAGATGTTAAGCATCATTATAGAGTGGATATTGGTTTGAACTAACATCTGTATGGAACAATTTTTTAATCATTTGAAGAAGGTAAATATAGTCAAAGTATTAGATGGAATGAAAATTGACTGAAATGGAAAGGTGGAATCATTGAAAATGGAAGGTTAAAAAACAGTTTATACCAATTGATCTCATTTTGGTAACATTTTTCTGCATAGATAGTCAGGTGGACATACTAAGTGTGACTAGTAGATGGTAAAAATATAAACTTTTATTGTAAATATGAAAATGGTACATATTCATTATGGAAAAATAAAAATTTGAAAAGCAAGAATTTAAAAGTATATATAGAAAAAAAAAATGTGCAGAGAGAGAAAATGAGGGGGTGGGGGCTGGTGGTCTAAATAATATCAATTGTCCCAGTTCCAGAATGAATAGATTCTGAGGCAGGTTCTATTTTTCATTTCTCATCTTGCCAACTTGATCTTCAAATTCAGAAAGTAATGTGGAAGCAAGTTGGAACAGGCCCAAGAATACTGTTCCTCCCGTGGATGGCTGTTTCATTTCATTGTATCCTCGCCCCTAAACTCCCAGAGAAGCTGGATCAGCCCCAATAAGAAATTAAAATCAACCAGGACTCTGATTTTCCTAACAAAATCCCATCAGTGAGCGGCCTCTCAGCCAGGTGGCCGAAAGAGAGGAGTTTTTGCTTTACTTTTCCTTTTCTGTCTACTTTCTAGTTTCTGGGAATGCACTTAATCTTCAACAACCCTAATACAAGGAGAGTGATATTACTCTTATTTTTCTATAGCGGTGAGTCCCTTGCCCCAGTTTCAGTGGCGGAGGTGGATGTCTGCCCCGGCCCAGCTAGACCAGTACCTGTGCTCTGAAATCACCCGACTTAATTGGCTCCCTTGCCTTTTCTGCCTGGCGTTCTTTTTCCTTTCTCGCCTTCCTACGTGTCATAGTTGTCTCTAAAAAACACCCGCCCTCCTCTTAACAGACATCTATAGAACACTAAACCCCAAAAAAATGGAGTACACATTTTTCTCAAGCGCACATGGATCATTCTCCAGGATCGATCACATACTGGGGCACAAGACAAACATCAACAGATACACCAAGATTGAAATCATATCAACCATCTTTTCTGACCATGAAGGCATCAAACTAGAAATAAACCATAAAAAGAAGGCAAGGAACTTTCCTACCTCATGGAGATTAAAAACCACACTACTGGAAGACCATTGGACTAATGAGATCAAAGAAGAAATTAAAAAATTTTTTGAATTGAACGACAAGGAGGACACCAATATCCTAAATGTATGGGATGCAGCAAAAGCAGTAATAAGAGGAAAATATATAGCAATAGAAGCTCACATCAAGAAACAAGAAAGAACTCAAAGAAACAACCTAATCTCGAAGCTCAAAGATCTAGAAAAATAACAACAAAAAAACCCCAAAACCAGCAGAAGAAAAGAAATAATAAAAACCAAAGCAGAAATAAATGAAATTGAAACTAAAAAAACAATCCAAAAGATCAATGAAACCAAGAGCTGGTTCTTTGAAAAAATAAATAAAATAGACAAACCCCTAGCCAGGCTCACAAAGGAAAAAAGGGAGAAAGCACAAATAAACAGGATCATCAATGAAAGAGGAGAAATCACAACGGACACAGCAGAAATCAAAAGAATAATCAGTAACTACTATGAACAGTTATATGGAAACAAGTTTAACAATCTAGAGGAGATGGACAAATTCCTACAACTCTACAATCACCCAAAGCTAGATAAAGAAGAAATAGAACACCTAAACAGACCAATTACAATTAGCGAAATTGAAATGGTAATCAAAAACCTCCCCAAAAACAAAAGCCCAGGACCTGATGGATTTACAAATGAATTCTACCAAACATTCAGAGACGAATTAGTGCCTATCCTTCACAAACTCTTCCAAAAAATTGAGAAGGAAGGGACAATACCAAACACGTTCTATGAAGCCAACATTACACTAATACCAAAACCGAACAAGGACAACACAAAAAAGGAAAACTACAGGCCAATCTCCCTAATGAACACTGATGCAAAAATCCTCAATAAAATTTTAGCCATCAGAATCCAACAATGTATCCATAAGATAATTCACCACGACCAAGTAGGATTCATTCCAGGGACACAAGGATGGTTTAACATCCGAAAATCAATCAACGTTATCCAACACATCAACAAAAAGAAATATAAAAACCATATGATAATATCAATAGATGCTGAGAAAGCTTTCGACAAAGTGCAACACCCATTCATGATAAAAGCCCTTGAAATTCTTGGGATACAAGGAACATACCTTAACATCATAAAGGCCATCTATGACAAGCCAACAGCCAGTATCATTCTCAATGGTGAAAAGCTGAAAGCAATTCCATTAAGATCTGGAACAAGACAAGGATGTCCACTCTCACCACTGCTTTTCAATATAATACTGGAAGTCCTAGCCAGGGCAATAAGACAAGAGAAAGACATCCAAGGAATCCAAATAGGAAAAGAAGAAGTCAAACTATCACTATTTGCAGACGATATGATATTATACATAGAGAACCCCAAAAACTCCACAGAAAAGCTAATTCAACTCATCAATCAGTTCAGTAAAGTGGCAGGATACAAAATCAACACGCAAAAGTCAGTAGCCTTCCTATACACAAACAATAAATCTGAAGAAGAAGAAATCAAAAAAATCATCCCTTTCGTTATTGAAACAAAAAAAATCAAATATTTGGGAATAAATCTAACAAAAGAGGTAAAGGACCTATACAAAGAAAACTATAAAACACTGTTAAAAGAAATAGAAGAAGACACAAAGAAATGGAGAGATATCCCCTGCTCATGGATTGGAAGAATAAACATTATTAAAATGGCCATCCTTCCAAAAGCAATATACAGATTCAATGCTATTCCAATCAAAATTTCAATGTCATTCTTCAAAGAAATAGAACAATTATTGATGAAATTCATATGGAATCACAAAAAACCCCGAATAGCCAAAGCTCTCCTGAAAAAAAAAGAAGGGAATGGAGGCATCACACTCCCAGACTTCAAACTCTACTACAAAGCCATAATCATCAAAACTGCATGGTATTGGAACAAGAACAGACATACAGACCAATGGAATCGAATAGAAAATCCAGAGATAAACCCACAGATTTATGGTCAACTAATCTTCGACAAAGGAGCAAAGACTATGCATTGGAGCAAAGAAAGTTTGTTCAATAAATGGTGCTGGGAAAACTGGGTCGCTACATGCAAAAGAATGAAGCTCGACCACTACCTCACACCATACACAAAAACCAACTCAAAATGGATTAAAGAACTAGACATAAGACCTGAAACCATAAAATACATAGAAGGAAATATAGGCGAAACACTACGTGATTTGCACATCAAAGACATCTTTACAGACACATCACCCAAAGCAGTGATAGTGAAGGCGAAGATAAACAGCTGGGACTACATCAAATTAAAGAGCTTCTGCACAGCAAAAGAGACAATAACAAAAACAAAGAGAAACCCCACCAACTGGGAGAACATTTTTGCACCCAACACTAATGATAAAGGACTGATCACAAAAATCTGCAAAGAGCTGATGAGACTCAACAACAACAAAGAAAAGAATCCAGTCCAAAAATGGGCAGAAGAGCTAAAAAGAAACTTCTCTGAAGAGGAAATGCAAATGGCCAACAGGCATATGAAAAAATGTTCAACATCACTTGTCATCAGGGAAATGCAAATCAAAACTACCATGAGATACCATCTTACACCAGTGAGAATGGCACATATTAAAAAAACTAGCAACAACAAATGTTGGCGAGGGTGTGGAGAAAAAGGAACTCTTCTGCACTGTTGGTGGGAGTGCAAACTGGTCCAACCACTGTGGAAAGCTGTGTGGAGATTTCTGGACCTACTAAACATAGAGCTTCCATATGATCCAGCAATTCCACTCCTAGGTATTTACCCAAAGGACACAGAAACATCAATTCCAAAGAACACCTGCACCCCTATGTTTATAGCAGCACTGTTTACAATAGCTAAGCTTTGGAAACAACCCAAATGCCCAAAAATAGATGACTGGATCAAGAAGATGTGGTACATATATACCATGGAATATTACTCAGCATTCAAAAAAGATAAACACATGCAATTTGCAGCAACATGGATGGCGCTGGAAGGGATCATGCTCAGCGAAATAAGCCAAAAAGAAAAAGAAAAATACCGGATGGTCTCACTCATAGCAGGAATCTAGAAAACTTAAATAAGGGACCAGGAGAATGAATAACTATAAGAAAGTGAAAATCAAAATCAACAAAAAACTATGAACCAGAGACACTTTTAGGGGGGCAGGGGCGGGAGGGGAAGGATTGGGGTCAGAATGGGGGCGCTGCAATTGTATGGGGAATATAACAATAAAATTTATTATCTAAAAAAAAAAAAAAAAATAAAACCCTGAGATCAGGAAATATGAAAGGAAAAAAAAAAAAAAAAAAAAAAATAAAAAACACCCGCCCTCCTTCAACAGCTGGCCTCTTGGCTGTGTGTATTGCCAACCTCCTCATTAGAATCACAGAGAGAACTTTAAACCTAGAATGGTTTCGGGCTTGTCTGGTCCAACCTGTCATTTTACAGATAGGAAGTTGTGGCCCGAAATTGGAAAATTCTGGCTTAAAGTTATTCTACTGTTCCGTGACAGACCCAGTATTAATAACAATAGTAATGGCAGTGGTAATAAACATTGATGAAACCCTTACCAGCCTCTGTTCTAATGACTTGATATATATGAATTTAATCCTCTGAGCACACTCAGGAGAAATAGGATATAATTATCCCTTGCTTTCCAAATAAGATAAATGAGATAAGTGCAGCACACAGAGTCTAAGACTTCTCAATCCAGGGGAAGTGGATTCAGTAATCTCTTTCTACTCCTTTGCTACACGTAGTTTTTCCTCTTATTGAAATCTCTAAAAGCATTACCCAGGAGTGGCTCCCACTCCATCAAATGGCTTATCTTCATTTAAGAAAGTCTCAAAGACCTGAGCAGAGGAGGTGATCTCCTCTTCCTTAAACCAAATTCCCGAGCCTTCCAATGTCATTATTTCACCTCATTCAGATGAGTTTTTCGAGTTTCATAAATATCACTAGAAGATTTAATGACAGGGTGACCTATTAAAGTAAAATTACATCCCATGGAACTAAACAAGCAAGAATATACTCAGTTAGGGCCTCTCTTGGTGGTGCAGCGGTTGAGTGCTGGGCTGCGAAGCTGCCCGCAGCCTTTGCAGTGCTGGTTCGATCCCTGGCTGCTCCCCGGCCACCGGAGGAGGGTCCCACATGGCGTGCAGACCTCTCCTGCCGCCTGCTGCTCCCATCAGCCGTGGGCTTCGTCGGTCTGCCTGTTCTGTTTCCTTCTCTGGCTCTGGTGAATTCTCACCTCCCGAGCTTCTGACTGTACTCAGTGCTTGTATAAATAAATAAATAAATATTTAAAAAAAAAAGAATATACTCAGTTAATACAAAAGGCAGGAGGATTTTTAAACTTTGGGGTGAGTTAGTGAACAAGTACTGGAGGAATGTAGTGGTGAGGAGATATCAATTCAATTGGGCCATCTGCATTTGTTAATGGTGCTACTGGAAGTTAGAATCTTGCTTTCCCAGAGAGAGGAAAATTACCTTTCTTTTTGATTACATTTGAAATAGATGATGTGCAGATCCTAGAGAAAGTCCTTCCTGGATGGTAGGAGAGGTACATCTCCAAGGGCCAGAGAATGAATTTACAAATGCAAAGTTTCTAATGTAAATGCACTAAGAGCTGTCAGAGCCTGTAGTTGGGAGTAAAGTTCAGTGGAGCTGAGGGAAACTTTAGGCCATCGTGATCATATTGCAGGAGGCATCACACTAGGGAAGCTGGGAGAGAAAGATTATCCACCCAGCACCACACAACACACGGCAGGAAAAGAGACCTTTCTGTATTGTTTTCTTTCATTTGCTTTTAAATACAAAAATAAAGCATATAGATGTAGAATTCATCTCTCCGAGCAGCTGGAAAAATACATATTTTTAGGATTTACCCTTTTCATTCCTCCCACATTCATCTCTATTTGTTGAATAAACTTAAGTGTAACATTTCTCTGCCATCCTTCCTCCCTGCCATGCTATTTTAGGGTGCTAAGTCATTATGGAGGGAGTGGCATCACTTTTATCATTTGTGGGTTTTTTTTTTAAGATAACATTTTACCTTATAGATGAAATCTCTGTATTTTGATAAAATGTTTGGGCAAAGTGAAAATGTCTTCAGAGAGGTGAATTATGACTCAGTGAGTGATTCCTTGATGCTGACATTTACCCTAATAATAATATGCATTTCATTGTTCTCCACCAGAACTAAGCTATAATATTCACATAGGTGACCAGGGACTCATAAAATAGTTAACCTTTGAAAACTATGCCCTTGAAACAGACTAACTGCCCTAAACACCCACCTTACAATATAAGAGTTTTCAAAACCTGTGTTTGATAATTCTCTGGCATTGTTAGGAAATGCTCAAGTGGGTTTTTATGTTTCCTGAATGTGAAGTGGGCACTGCTGATGTTGCTCAGCCTCTACTGAAACATGGGGCATACTTTAAAGAAGAAAGAAATGTTTTTGAATAAGTAAATGTATAAATTGCAGAGCACCTCCATTGTGATTTTTGCATTTCTTTATTCTACAAAAATGTATTAACTAAATGATTCAGGCATCATCATAGAAAGTCTAGCATGAGCTGGGTACTTCCCCAAAAGGCCAGAAGCACCATGCCCTCTATCCTGGAGCTTGTATGCCAGTGTGGGATATCGGACAGACTGTGAAAACAAAATAATTTCAATAGCCGGAAGCATGAAACCAACAAACAGGGTTACGTGCTGAAGGGCATCTGGGCTGGAGAGAGGGCATGGGAAGGTTTGGTCCCAGGACAGAATGAGTGATGTGCAGGAGCAGAATGCATGTGTCGGGGAAGTGGAAGTTGCTGACAGGGGCAGGCCCGGGCTCAGGACTGCAGAGAAGCCCAAGCACCTGTGGCAGGGAGAGAAAGTGCGATCCTGGTTAGATGGGACATGAAGGCTGTGAATCGGAATGTTATTCTAACTGTGATCAGAGCCATGAGCTTTGGGGAACAATGTGATCTGTGTTTATGTATAGCATGTCCTAACCTGGTGCTGGGCTCAACCCCCCAGGCCCGTGCTCTGAAGCCTGTCCCTGTGCCAGGGTCAAGGTCTCCACTGATTCCAGTGGCTCAGGTGGCGCCCTCCTGCCATGTGGGCACTCCTCTGGCTGACTTTGCTCAAAGACTTCCTGGCAGTCTTGTCACACCTTCTGCAGTCATCAGAGCAAGCACCCAACCTTCCACCTCTCTTTAAATAAGTGCCACATGTGCTTTGTATTTGAATGGTGGTCTGCACCCCTCTGGATTCCTTCCATATTCACTCACACATAGTTTTCTTCAAATAATCTTGCTTTCATAACCCCATCCTACTTCCTGGAGGACCAGGATTAACTCAGAGGCTACAGAGACTGCTAGCAAAATCTTTGAAGTAAGGAACTTAAAATTCCATTAAATGAAATGTCCATGGAAACAAAACATAGCAATAGAATGATTACAATAATTATTATCATTATGTTCTCATAATACTAATTATTATACAATCATATCATGATAATGAAAGAATGTGCACAACATAATAATGAAGAGAATGAGAACATGGTAGATAGGGTATTGTGTCAGCAAATGCTCAAATCAAAGCTGGAATGTTTTGTGTATGGACAGTTGGAGGATGAGGCATTCAGGGAGGAAGAGTATGTGCAACAACCCTGGGTCATACACCTGCCATAAATTCAGAGCACTCCAGGTCAGCCAGCCAGTGTCCAGGAGTGCAATGAATTAGGAAGAATAGGCAAAGGCTGCAGAGCTATACATGGACCAGAGCCTAGGACTTTGGTCTAGATAGTGAGGAGCTGGATTATAACAGGTAGGGGATAACAGATTTGCCCTCTAGGAGGAACTATCTGGTGAGTGTAAAGGACAAGGACCCTCCATTAAGGCTTTGTATATAATGGAAAGGGTAGAAGACTCTTGGGAGAATTGTTTCACTTCTAGTAATCACCTGATATTGTATCCCCAGAGGAGTTCCGATCTCTCCGCCTGTCCTTTTCTCCAAACCTGGACGACTACAACCCTGACATCCCTGAGTGGAGGAGGGACATCAGCCGGGTCATCAAAAAGTCCCTGGTGGAAGTAAGTGCAGACAATCCCTTCTCCTTCTAGGGCACGTTCCCCCTCTGTCCTTTAACAGCTTTGTGGTGAGGGGACCTTTGTGCAAAGAAATGACAGGAGAGAGCAGGAGCCCATGGGAGGGCTGGTTAACCTGGGTGACATCAGTGCTATGGGGGTGTGCATCAACTCCCGACCTTGCCTCTTGAGAATTTTCCTGAGAAAAGAAAAACTTGGAAATTTGTGATAGTCATGGAGTAGATTTGGTGATTAGGCCATTTGCAGGTGTAAAATCAGTTGTCGTGCATGATACTGAGACACGATGTGCGTGCAATGAACAAGCACAACCAGGCCCCAGCCCCATCAACAGCAAGTCTGAGCACCATGCGGGCACTCATCCATAGTGGTCACTCACTTATCTTTGTCCCAGTTCTTTTAAAGCATTTCTCTTCTACAACAGCCCCATAAAGAAGGATTGCAGGTTTGCAGATGAAGTGACTAAGGTTCAGAGAAGTTAAGTAATTGCTTGACATTTCTAATGAATACATGAAGAAGCTACAAAATTGTAGTGAAGGGTCAGAGTCCAAAGTCGACAAGTGCTTTTACACCTGAATCTGGGCACGTGAGCAACCACCAGGTGGAGTTGAGCCCTCTCTGAGCAAATGTCTCTGGCATTTGGAGAAAACACCTTCTTTTAGGCACATCTCCCACCACACACTGAGCTTTTATGAGTGAGCAGAGGAGTGGGGTATCTGCTCATGGGGCAGTGTGGGTTTATTGTGCAAACCCAGAAAATCAGAGATGAGCTACCTCTTCCAGGGTATCTTCTTAGCCTGAAAGGAAACACGATTGAGGGTTTTTTGTACATTCTTCCCTGCATCAACACATGGTACCTTGTGACTCAAGACGATGAGGGAATAAAGGCGTTCAGATGACCCTTGCCCCAAATCAGCTCTCACACCCGGCCTCTTGGCAAAGAGCTGTCCTTCCCAAATTCCTACCACTGTTGGTTGGAGAAGGGGTATCTTCATGTGCCTCTGGGTAAGTTATTGCACCTCTGTCTTCATGACTCAGCATGAGTCATGGTATCTAAACAGTATGGCCTCCATTATGGCTCATCCATCCTCCTGCAGGGTCAGCTGGAAGACCTGTTAGCCTTTGGGGCCCTGGTCCCAGGTATAATAGCAGGCCTCTCCTCAACTGTCCAAGATGACTACAGGGCAGACCTCTTTCAGCTGCAACATTCTAGGGATCCATGTGCCCGCAGATCTGCCCGGCAGCTGTCTAACTCCCTGGTTGATTTATTAACCAGACATTAGCTCAGCAGTGCCCAGTCTCTCAAGCTGATTTCTCCTCACATGCAGTGTCTAGGGGTCAGATGCCCTAAGTTTCCACCTTTCACCAGATGCCCAGTCGACTGGAAATCACTGCTCATCTGTATTCTAAGCTGCTGAATAACATATTCACCTAAATGCAGAATAAACAGGTTGGCTCAGCATCCCTCAGCACAGGGTGGAGGAGTGAATACTGTGCAGTTTCAAAGACTCCTTTGTTACCTGATCCCCAGAGACAATCCTCCCAGCCCCTGGTTCCTCCTAGCATCCGAGTAATGACACTTGGCTACTTTTTTAAACCCTGAGGTCCCATTGCCAAGTGTACCCTAATAAACCCTAGACAATGTGCAACTTCAGGTCAATTTATTTGCAGTTTTCTTCCCCTCATTATGTGACAGAATTCAATATAAAACCAGTTACCTCACTAAATGGATTCTTTCTATTAACATTTCACAATGAAATCTTTAATTGAATGCCATTCAGTAAACATTTTTTGCATGTAATGGGGATGATTCAGACATAATCTCTGAGTTTAAAATTTAGTAAGACCATAAAACAGTATTAGATTTCCAGCTGTGATAGGAGGTGCTGTGTGATGGTGTCAAGAAGGGGAGGCAGTAGCGCCCCTCTCAGAGCAGAGGCTTCATGGCCAGACCACATTTCTGAGCTGCACATCACCACGCACCGCCTAGAGGGCCTTGAGCCATGACTTACCCTTCTGCTCTCTCTCCTCTGTCCTGTGTCAGAAGTAGGGGTTTTCCACAAGATTGCCATGAGGGTGAGGTTACTCACCCTCACTGCTGTAGGTACAGAAAGGCCAGGCCACCTCAGCCCCACCTCACACAAATCTGAAGGACCACCTCAGTCCCTGTGAGGTCTCGTGAGGCTGTGCTTGGCCTGCATCAGAGCTTAGCTTCTCCCCCTGCCTGTCCCTGCTTCTTTCCTTCACATTCTAGATGTTAATCCTGAGAAAACCCCTGGAAAAACCCTCACACACTAAAGTCACCATCAACTTCCAGAGACCCAACCTGTGCTGGGTCCTCACCTGCAGAGTGAGGGGTAATAAGGGAAGGGTTGTTGCAGGAGCTGCATTATGTGATTGTGACAAGTGGCTTGGCACATTGCCAGAACCAACAGGCAGCATTCCCTGATACCTCAGAGAAGACATAAATGCAGACTTCAGAAACAGTCACCTACTTGGGAGATCATGAGAAATATACTGAAATAAGTGAACTTTAAGAAGACTCGTGAAGGAATAAATGGGTTTCCAAAAGCAGATAGAGAAAAAAGACACTCTGGGGAAAATGGACTGCACACATCTCCTGTGGAGAAATTGAGAATATCGAGCAGTTGTACAGGATTGCATTTGGGTAGAGGTTGTGTGAGCTGTGGGATGTTAGTTTGGAAAGGAAGGGTCAGGCCAGAAGGCCTTGCAGAAGGCCTTGAATATATATTTAATTCAGTTGGCAATGGGGATTTCTACAAGAATTTGGACAAGGAAATAGGATTTGAGAAAGATCACAAAAAGATAAGTCTAAAAATTGTCTCCTGGAAATGGGACAGCTATTATAAAACCCCATCAGAACCCCAGAGAAGAGCTGAAGAGTCCTAGGAGATAAGCTCAATGGGAGCAAATGAACTAGGGCAAAGAAGGCCTTGAGTGACAGCTGTGATTCTACTGAGATTCGAGTGAGTGGGTTAGTGAAGCGTGTTGTTCCTCAGGTTCTGATTCTATGGAGACACTGACAGGTACCTGAGGATTGTGACACAGAGGAGTCCTGTTAGGGAGGTGACTAGGATGTGACTTGTATTTGGAGAGTATATCTAGTGCCGTGACAAAGAAAGAAAGCAGGTTAGAACAGGTTAAGACATGAGGGACAAAGTCGAGACAGTGCAGGTCTTCCCACTGGCACCATCCACTTACTGGCCCTTTAGGAAGCAGAGCTACCATTTGAATCTCCAAGCACTGCTGCATGTGCCTCTTGTGTTACTCATGTCATTCTCAAAGCCACCCTTTTACAAGGCAAGTACTGTTATCATCCCCATTGGCTATTTGAGGGAATGTAGGCACAAGAAGATAAGGGAAGTTTCTAAGGACACACACGATGGAGCCAGGGTCCAACCTTGGATGATCTGACTTTATCACAGTGCTACCTCTACTGTTCATGTCTACCTTGCCTACCTGGGGCCCTGTCTGCCACCCACCTACCCTCTTTGATCTTCTAACCACCCCCCCCCATTGTCCACTGAATGCTTGGTCCATTCTTATCTCCTTTCCTGCAGGACTTAATGAGCTTCTGTGTCTCTCCCTCAGGCCACGGGGATTCCAGGCCAGCACATATTGGTGGCTGTGCTCCCCGGCCTGCCCACTGCTGCTGAGCTCTTTGTCTTGCCCCATCAAGATCCCACAGGAGAAAGCAAAAGGTCGGCTGAGGACCTGGAGCAGGTGAGTCCCCCAGGCTGCCTTTAGCTCTGACAGTCTGACCACCGTATCAGCAGCTTGGAGGGATCTCCGGGCAATCTGGGCTTCAGAACAAGGCACCCGCTCTTTGCAGGGTTTGTGACTTTCTGGTCCACCATTTTTCATGCATAACTTGGTGATCATAAATGAATTTCACCAAAAAAAAAAAAATGCAAGAGTGTTTATTGTAGGCTAAGTGACTCAGCATACCCACAATACGGAATCTTCCACAGCATTTGCAGTGAGTCATATAAATCTATGTGCACACGACGCTGTGCAATATTAAGTGGGGGAAACACAAGTAGCTGGAAGTTACTTGACAACTTTGATCCCCAAGAGTGTCATGAGAATCAAATGATGTGATATCCACTCTATCTTTTTAAATGGGTACAGCTTGTGTACAAATCCTGAATCCTATTTATTACCACCACTCTAACATGGCCTGATTGATGTCAAGAATAAGTAAGTAATATTGACTCCAGGCCACCTCTTCTACCTCTGACGAAGGTTCCACTTTCACCTCATCTTGACAACCTCTGGAGGCTTAGAAATTCTGTGGTGTGTGTGTGTGTGTGTGTGTGTGTGTGTGTGTGTACACATATGCACATGTTAGTATGTCTGCCCTCTGCCTCCTTCGAGCATTTTTTAAAATATTTATTCATACAAGAACTGGGGTACAGGCCAGGGGTATGGGGATGAGAGGATCCACCAGAGATAGAACTGGGAGCAGAACAGACAGATCTACTTTAAAACACTGCTGCGGAGAGCAGCGGGCAAGACAGGAGAGGTCTGCTGTGCCACTTGGGTTTCTCCCTGGACGGGGATCGAAAATTTTTCCTTTCCCACTCTTTAACTTTAGAAGCCTCTTCAGTCTCTGTAAGGGAGAATTATAGTTATTATGTCATTGTTGTTCATCCATTCAATTAAACTGATCAGTCTTGGTCTGGTTACCCTGTTCGAAACTACGTAATTTCAGTTTCTCAATAGATTAAAAATAGGATTCTCAGACACAAACTGAATATTGGATTTCTCTCCTCTGGTACTTGGAGCTTTTCCTTTTATTTACAATAAACCCGTAATCAACTCTCATGATCTCTAGTCTTGCAAGATGGTTTGAGAACCACCGATAACAGCCTTATTAAAAACCACCCCAAATTACATCAGGGCCCACCTCCTAACAGTCACCTCCTTTCAACAGCAGCTTTCAAGCTTGGCAGGAGCATCACCTCTGTAATTTTCTCCATGTGCAAGTGATGAAAAACAGGGCAGTCATGGAAGCCCAGTAAACTCCCTTACAGTTAAAGGCTGGGCAGCAGGGGACCCATCAGACTCATATCTGACCTTGTCCACTCCTGGCTCTCAGCTTCGCAGAGTATTAGACAAATTAACATCTGTAACTGTGAGAGAAGAATAGGATATTTATTATTATAGTATATTTTTTCTGGATGTTCCTTGAGAGGAAATGTGGTGAGAAGAGGGATATGTCTATGAAATTCCTTTTGCTTATATAGGAACATGTATATTGCTTTGATTGTGTGTTTTCTCTGGAGTTCCTGTCCCCCTTTAGTCTCTGTCTTGCTTGGGTACCTCTTCTAGAGACAATCTCAGAGTTGTGGGCCCCAAAGTTTTCCCCAAGGCAGCCTGGTATCCAGTATAGGTGGAACATTTAACCAGAGAACTGAAAACAGATGGTTTGTTTAAGGGCTAACCACCTACCTTTTGACACATATAGAAGGTCCAGTCATTTTATTAGAACGATCATGGGTTTCTAGCTTCAAGTCTAATTTTCATTATGTCTATACTATAAAGGAGGAAAGTTAGGCCAGAAAAGTTCAATAATTTAGCCAAAGTCACACAATCAATAATAGCCATCTCATAGAATGCTTGAGAGGATTAAGGAACTGATACAGCAAAGTGCTTGGCTTACGGAATATGCTTGCTAAATAGTAAATTGAACATGGTTATATTTATGGTCACTTTATAATAGGAGAGGGATCTATGGAAAATTCAAATAAAAAAAACTTCTGGTCTCTTGAAGAGACTGGTATAATATTATTAGAAGAAAGGGGATTCTAATTACATATTTAAAAAGGGATGATGGAGAACGAAAATTAAAGAACTACATCACAAAGAACAAGGACAATAGAAAATGGAAAGATGTGTACCTTAGATTTTCACCTGAAATTTACAAAATGTTAAAATGCAATGTTATGTCAAAAAAAAGAAATTATAAATAAATAAAAGAATGGCAAGAACATATGTGTATAACTACACTGCTATGAGAATGACGCATCTAAATTATTATGCAGATTTCTAGCATTGAAGAAAAATAAATGGCCAAGCTAGAGATTGTAACCTGTTTAAGGAAATTTCAAATGTATCAACCTTATCCAGGACTCAAAGCAAATACAATGACCAATAGATGTCAGATCAAGCATGTAACAAATTAGTGTCTTAATCATGGAGAATATTATTATCCTCATTAAGTACAATAATGAAAGCAACATATAAAACAGAGCCTCTGTGAATCAGAAGCTGCTTTCAGGAACCTAAAGTTTTCAGCCTATGAGGGGTCTTTTCCTCTTCTTACTCACTTGAGTCATTTACAATGAAGCAATCCAGGCCCCAACATGGAGAAGTGATACAACTCTCCAAGAGAATGACATTCTAATTCTGTTTCTTTTTTTTTTTTAAGATTTATTCATTTGTGCATACATGTGGGGATACAGGCCAGAGGTTCAGTGGGTGAGAGGATTCACCAGAGACAGAGTGGGGAACAGAACAGGTGGGTGGAGTGACTGAAATACACTGCTGAGGGGAGCAGCAGGTGAGACAGGAGAGGTCTGCTGTGCCATGTGGGTGGCTCCCGGGCTGGGGATCAAACATGTGCTGTAGTGGCTATGGATAGCTTCATAGTGCTGAGACTTAAACCCATTGCACTACCAGGGAGGCCCTAATTCTGATTCTGCAATGAACTCTCAAGCCCACTAGCCCCCATTCTACCATGCTGAAAAAGTAGATTTGAATCCCTGTTTTGTTCTGTGGATCCCCAAATTCCAAAGCTGTTGCCCCAGGAGAGGAATGAGTGATATTTTGCTGTGGTTTGTGTTGAGTTTTTGTTTTTACTTTCTTTTTCCGATGCAGATGACAAATACCCAATTGAAATTTCTTTAAAAAAAAAAAAAAACTTTTTTTCTCTAAAGATTTATTTATTTAACTATACAAGCACTGGGTACAGTCAGAAGCGCAGGAGGGTGAGAGAATTCACCAGAGCCAGAGGGGAGAGCAGAACAGGCAGACTGACAATGTACACTGCTGAGGGGAGCAGCAGGCGGCAGGAGAGGTCTGTGCGCCATGTGGGACCCTCACCTGGCGTCCGGGGGATGGAACCCGTGCTGCAGGGCTTCACAGCACAGCGCTCAACCACTGTGCCACTGGGGAGGCCCCCAATTGAAACTTCTTTCAGGAAGAAAAGTGGACATAGCAAGGTTACTCAGTTATTAAATCCAAAGCATTCAAAAGTCTCACTTAATTACTCCCTTCTCCTTGCCTGCCTCTCCCTCTTTCTCCATCTCCTTTCTTTATGACCACATGAGAAGTCTTCCCAAGAATGAAGCCAAGACATAGGAAGCCCTCGTGTCCATTAACTCCACTTGCCACCCCCAGGCAGAAGACAGTGCCTTTCCCTTGGTTGCACTGAAAGCTCCAGGTTAGCAATTCTCATGGGCCTAATAGGGGCGAGGTGGGCAACTCCTAAGTTGCCCGTGTGGTCAGAGAGAGAGAGTGTTGTCAATGACAACTCAGATGTGTTAAAACCTCCCTAGTTATGGGGTTTGGGGAGCCCTCAAGACTCAAATGGACAAAGAATAGAGAAGGACCTGGTTCCTCAGTGAGAAATGTGGAGCAGTGGGAAGGAACTCCAAGCAGGCAAAAGCAACAAACTTCCTTTGTAACAAATTACACAGAAATTTAAAATGAATGCCAAGCAAAATAAAGCAGAAAGGAAGGCCCTACTCCAGACGGAACCAGAGAGGAACTAACTTTTTCTCCTGATGCCCAATCCACTTACTTGAAAAGCTAGAGCACAGACTCCCAGGAGGGGAAGAAGTGGGGCCTTGGCCAGATGGACCCTGAAAAATGAAGCAAGGCCAAGACCTCCACAAGGGCCCGTGATGCTCTTCTCTTAGTGTCCTCTAAGATAGCATTCCCAGGGGAGCAATGAATGCTGGTTCAGATCGAACTATCTTGTCTGTGAAATAAATTGAAAATTCCTCACTGTGAAAAGTACTTGACCCTGTTATCAGGATAAATGGGCAGGGTTAATCAAGTGACCTCTATCTGGGAGGATCTCCCAGTCTCAGATCTGCGGTGAGTGAGAAAAGGCTCACTCACCCTTCGCTGGCCTCAGCAGGATGGCATATTCTGCTACCCAGTGCCAGCTGCTCAGGTATGAAGCAAATTCCCCCCACCCCTTCTCCCACAACCGCTGGGCTCACTTGCATCTCTGAGTCCTCACAGGTAAGCAGATTTGTGTGTGGTTCTCTAGGAGGGTTGTAAGACCACCATGCTCATACCAGGTTGTTTGTGATGCTATGCTGGGGAGACAGGGAGCTGACATGCTGGCTTGCAGGATCCTTAAAGGGCATGCAAACCACTGCCAGGAACAGGGAGACTATGGGAAAATGCCACTCCCATCAGTGAATTTCCTCCTGGGATGTTTGTGTCTCCACATACGTTGGACAGATGGGGAATCTGAAATCCGGGGAAAGGAGAGCTGTCTTAGAAAATGGAGCAGGCTATTGGCAGCATTCCAAGTATTTAAGACACATTAAGGAATGTAACTGATGATCTCAGATTATTTTCTATACACTCACATAATCGGTCTTCTCCAGATTGTTTAGCTTAGGGAGTTGAGTTATGGAAGTACTCTGGAGAGATACAGAAGTTGGAAATTGTAACTGACAGTAAAGGAGGTAGGAGTCAGACCAAAAAGAACAGAGCAAAGGGGGAGACTGAGAAGCTCAGAGCTGGTGATGGCGAATACAAGAAAGGGAGTATTTGTGGCCAGTATGTTTCTTCATTTTATCAGCCAGGAAACTTCTTTGGGACTTTAACCGAGCTAACTCTTTTGTGCTAAGAAGCAATGAAATTGAGTGAGATAGCATTAACTAGAGTTAGTTTTTGGCTCCATTTCTTCCCTTACAATTTAATACAGAAGTTATGATTTATGAATTTGGAAAGATGTTTCTCTGATGAACCCAAAAGGACGATTATTCAGCTACTATGTGAAGGGACCTTAACTGTGAGACAGGATCGGGAATGACAGCCTGGGCCAGCTCCAAGGTCACCCAGGCAAATCTCTCTAAACCTGGCACCAGAAAGCTTTGATTGTTCAGTAATTCACATTCCTCCTACTAATTTCACAGATGAACATTAGGTTTTTGACCTGTTGTATCTTTGTCATGGATAAATCTGCCAAAGTATATTTTGAATCTATAGTTTCACTTTTCACCACTTCTTTAGGTAATGTGTCTCATAAATTTACCAACTGCCTTGTCCTTAAACGTGTCTTTTATCCCCTTTCAATCTTTGGACACTGCCATTCTAATAATCTGAAAGGTTATTTCGCCCTAGGATTTCATTAAAAACTGTTTAGGTGTTGAATGTGTTATTTATGTGGTAACTATCACTGCTGCTAAATGTATGCTGCTCACTGCCATCCGGGCACCTGGTAGGGCTGTACCCATGAGCCTCTTCTTTGGCCAGAACTGATTCTGGCCAATGGACAGGCATGATCTGTGCCATTTCCGAGCTAAGGTACTCAGATGCCAGTTGCATATCTTTGAGAACAACATTTCCCTCCTATGGTGTTGAGAATGGAAATGCTGCAGAGGCTGCTTCGCCAGCCTGAGTCCCTGTGAGGTCATAAAAAGCACAGTGGCACTGCCTGCCTGCAGTGGATGAAGTGTGCACAAGAAATATACCTTCATTGTTTCACTCTCCTGAGATTTTAACATTGTTACCTCAACCTAACCTACCTTATTCTAATAGCAACAGAATTCCATAGACTGAGAAAAACATCTAGAAGAGAATGAGTGGGTTCCCTGTAATAAGTCCCTCCCACTACATCCTTTTGTTGGTAGTTTTCCAAGTATTTTTATTGAGTCCCCACTGTCAGTGGTACTTCAAGTGAAGTGTGGATTGCATCTGAACCACAGGCATATTCTACTAAGCAGGCAGATGCCAAGCATAACAGGTCACTTCTTTGGTCATGATTATTTAGCTGAGGAAAATAGAAAACAGACTGTGTGGGATAGCAACAAAAGAGGAATGACAATACAAAGAATAAAATAAATTTGCTAAGACAACATACTTTCACTGGACAAAAAGGAAAAATAAGTAAATTCAACTTGCTTCAGCAGTTTTAATCTCTTAGCAATCACACATTACTGCACTTGAGTCTTTATCATGCAAATTTTCATTCTTTTCATTTGGACTGTCACCACATTCTTCTAAAGATTGCAGTCTATTCTGCTCCTTTCATAACCAAAGACTCTCCCAAACATTAGAAATTATATTAATTGATGAACAGCAGTGAGCCCTGAGGATGGGGTTAGAAATTGTCCATTCCTATAGATCAGCTGGCATGGGGCTAGTGTTCTAAGTTGTGTGTTTCACCAAGGAATGAGAAATAGCAGCATAATTAATTAAATGCTGATTTTTTTAAAAATCTCGTAACCTGCTCAGCCAGTCCTATTTTCAAATACCTTTTGCTCTCTTCTTTGTCAGATGTTTCAGGAAAATGTTTTTAATGACAGTTCCCTAAGGTTAGGAGTCAAATAAAGCTGAAATCTATTCTCAAATCTTTAAATATTAACTGAGTAAACTAACGTATAGCCTTTAGCACCGTGTTCCTGTCCATGGAGATAACAGCACTAATACCAAAGACTCTGTATTTAGACAAAAATAATGCAAAATATTCTACCTTACCAAAAATAAGGTGTTCAATGCATATTTAATATACGTATGTATAGCAATCCATGATCTGAGAAAAACAATAAAAGGATACAAACTTCTAAAAGTGATATGGAAAGCATGTAAAAATATTGTCAAACTCTATCAAGAGTTTCCTACTCATTGATTTGAACAGAAAAGTATGAGGTGGTAATTGAGATTATTCTTGTTTGAATTGTAAATTTTATTTAGTTTTGTTTCTGTGCATAATTTCTTCCCCACAAGTAGGTGTTTTTTTATCACATGCTCTTTGATGCAAGCTAAATGCATGGGGCATACTTTCTGGTACCACATTACCTTTGCACAGGCTGCTTAATTTTGTAAATGAAACAGATAACCTGATGAAGCAATGTTATAAACCAAAAGAAATCTGATAAGTTAATTATTTCCACCAGGGACTCTCCTGGATGTTATAAATTATAAAAAGTATGTTGTTCTGATGAACTCTATTTTCTGATTTATTTATATCTCTCACTTGAAGAATAATTGTTTTTGGGAATAAGAAAAAAAGCATCACTTCAATTGGTAGAAAGACAGGTGCATTGTTGTCTTCATTTGACAGACTGCAGAGAGGACAATTCCTTCATTACTTCTGACAAATATTTTCTGTATGAGTTAAAATGTATTTTTTTGAAAATATGTGTGTGTGTCATGCATATGTATTTCATACACATGTACTTATGTATACATATATTTATTTCACATCCGTATATGTATACAAATTTTTGTTTGTGTGTGTGGTTCTCTATTTCATAACCAAAACCTTTCAGAGTGACCTGTACTAAAAGCTGCTGTTGATCGCTGAAAATAATACCAACCAAGTGATAACCATAAGTTAAAATAGTCACTTGTACATTGCAGTACTTTAGAGAACACAAACAGGTAACATTCTACACAGTCTGTGATAGAAATCTATTCTTCCTATAAACCTGGAACCTCCTGGAAGACTCTAGCACCCAAGAAAGAGTAGCTTAATGTAGAGAATGAAGTTGTTCTTGACATAATTTTAGTGAAACCCATACTTTGAACATGGTCTAACAAATGAAGACATTGGAGAAGCAGAGCTTGCACTGGATCCAGGGTGCTCCACCCTAGTCACCCCAAGTTCCTGCTGGACAAAGAGGCCCATCTGCAGGGCAGGGAGTTCCACTACCATTCACGGACTCCTGCAAGGGCCTCCGCCTCAACACAAAGCCCTCAACCTGCTTAATTGACAAAAGGATCAAAGATGTCTTCCTGGCAATTTAGTGGACTAAACAAAGCTCAATAAACTTCAAAAACTTAATAATAAACTGGCATTAACCCTTGTGTAAGGGTTTATAAGGGTTCCTCGTAACCTCAGTTAGAAACCTGCCATCAGCTTGTCCTGCTGGAGCCATAGATGTGTGATTGTTGACTTTTAAGTAGTGTTTTCAGACCAATACTAAAGTGAGGAAGAAAATGACAGTTTTTAAGGATGACATAAAAGATATGGCAGTAGATTTCTTTTTTTTTTAATCACCTGTTATGAGCCAAATGAAATCATTTCATATTTATTAAAATGAACCTTCACTAAAAGAAAATAATTTAACTATCAAAATGATGGTTACAAAGCATCTACTCAGACTTAACTAGCATATTAAATTAAATATTAACTTAATGTTTGAAATATTAAAAATAAGGCAAGAAAACTGGGTAAAATAATAAGAGTACGGTTTTCCCTAAAGTCTTTTCAGAAATTGCTTAAAAGGATAGTAAAGCAGTGCAAATTGAGCTTTAAACAAGGGAACAGTTTTATTGTGTCTATGAAACCTTATCTTATTCTGTTATTTCTCAAACAAAGTCCCTGCTTCGCCCGAGGTTAACAATTCTGTGCCCAGAAGCCCAATGGCCAGTGTAGTGCATGCGTGGTTTAGGGTTTAGCTAATGTCCATAACCATGAAATAAGGAGTAGCCAATTCCTGATTTAAGATGTAGTTCAGTTTGTTTCAACTGTAATATTTATTATTTTTACCTGGACTATCTAATTCAGTAACTATTCATAATGTATCTATTCTGTGAAAATCAAGGATGGTTTTGGGGAGGGGAAGAGGCAGAGAGGAATTAAGTAGAATCTACTATATAAAATAAATGTATGTGGATCTCACCAGAATTGTAAATGTACATATCAACTTCTTTTATTTATTTTTTAAGATTTATCTATTTATGCTTACAAGAGCTGGGTTGTAGGCCAGAGGGGCAGGGGGCTGAGAGGATTCCCCAGAGACAGAGTGGGGAGCAGAACAGCCAGACTGACTGAAATACACTGCTGAGGGGAGCAGCGGGTGAGTCAGGAGAGGTCTGCTGCACCATGTGGGTTGCTCCCTGGCCTGGGATTGAACTCCTGCTGCAGCGGCTGTGGATAGCTTCATAGTGCTAAGACTTAATCCCTTACACCACCAGGGAGGCCCCTCTACTTCTTTTAAATCCTTATAAAGACATGTTCTCTCAAAAACCTGGGAATGACTTTACTAATATAATACAAGATAATTTTCTTTAGTGTAAATTATGTAATATACTAATAGTGTTATTTTGTAGCAATTTGTATGTAAAATCAGGTCATGTTTTAAAATGTTAAAAATTATATCTGCATATTCTGAAATAAAATCTCAAGATCATATAAAATTCAATATACTTCTCAGGTGTAACTTTGGAACACCCTGGTAAATATTTCTCAGCAGGCTTATTTCTAGTTGGTATGAAAATTCACTATGCCGCTGCTTCTTTCAGATATCGGAGCTGCTGATCCACAAGCTCAACCAAAACTCCGTGCACTTTGAGCTGAAGCCTGGGGTCCAAGTCCTTGTCCATGCAGCCCACTTAACAGCAGGTCAGTTCTCAGCCCCCTGGCTCCTGTCTGTACTCTGGCAAAGGGGATTCCCCTCTATGCTTCCACATACCCAGATCTGATGGTGCCACTGATAACAGAAACCAAACATCAGTCCTTGGAGGGTCCCTTTATTGGCATTTTAGCTGCTATAGAGACTTGTCAGGCAACAGAATACGTTGACTTTTCCTCCTTATTTCCAGGAAATAACCATCTATAATCTCCTCAACACAGGCTCCTCAAGTGATGACATGCTTCTTCTCTGCAAAACTCTTGAAAATAAAGTTAACCTTACAAATAACATTTTCTGATCTTTCTTATAAACTTATTTTTCAAATGATTTCTGTCACAAAGAATTTCTTTAAGTTTTAGAAAGTAGTATGGTGAAAATAGCTGGGACTGAGGAGTTGTCCAGGGCTGTTGCCAGAATTGAGCCCCAAGTCCCCAGTAACCATGAAGGTTTTATCCCTGGAGAGAGCTCCAGATGGCAAAGCGTAATGTGAAGTTGAGAAGATCTAGAAAATGTCCCCAACTTCTTATAGTTCTTTCCATATCTGGGAGTTTGGGAATCAGGATTCAGGTCCCTGGGATGAAAGGCCTGTTATGAGATCTCAGGTGACCACACGATTCGTAGGGGAAGCCACTACAATACAGATATGCGTCATCAAGGTTACCCAAAGAACAGGAGTCATGGATGCACTTTGAAGCAAAAGCCCAATCATAGATGGAGCCACTTTGGAGAGAGTGGAAATTCTTTGATTTCCAACTATTTAGGCTGAGGGTTCTTCCCTGTTGGAATTGAGAAGAAACAGTGAGGAGAGAACTGATGTACAACTTCTACCTCAACTCGCTTTCACATCCTGTTATTACCCCCTGCAGACAGGAGAAAATAAAAATTAAAAAAAAAAAAAAAAACGTGAAAAGGACTACTGTTTGCAACATTTCATGTCTCATAAGCAGGATTGCTAATACTGTCCTGGGGACCGTTCCGGCAGGCTGCCGCCTTCCATTAATTGCTCGGCAGATGTTCAGCATCCTTCTTTTAAAAATGTTAGAACCACAGTGTGTTGCTGGTGAGAAAGGCAATGCATAATTTGGTTTGTCTCCAGGGAAAAAGAACTGTCTCCTTTCAGGAATTTACTGGCCTTATTTTGTTTTTCAAATTCAGTTCCCTGTTTGCTTTTATGGGAACACAGGGTAAGCATTTCCAGATACCTGGATGCTATTACAGACCGGATTGAGTTGGTATTCCCACATGTGTTCTATTTGGGAATTCATTAACTTTGGTTTCTACACTGAGTAAACTTAAAACATACTCCCTGTTTTGTTCTTAGCTGTTCTGTACTTCTCATTTCTATGCAATTCCTCAGGAAGGTCTAACCACCCCAACAGCTACGTTGCTGAAATGCTTATTCCTGAAAAGAGAGACTTGAAGTTTTATGAATATAGGGAGAGAAGTGGAAGCTGGTACTAAAAAGACTGACAGGAGGCCAAGGCATGAGTGGCTCTTTGGTTAGGGTTAGGCCCTGGTGTCCAGGTTTAGCCGACTAAGGATATGAGGTTGCAGAACAACACACAGAGTTGAACAACAGAGTAGAAATTGATCAAGGGTTGCACTGGAATGTATCTTTATTCCTAGTATTCCTAATTGGAATAGTTCCTCCTCCCCTTCCCCACCATTCCACATCTCTTAGATCTCTGTGGTTTAAGGCTCAGCTCAGTTTACCTTTGCTGGAGTCTTTCTGGAGACCTTTATCTGGGCACCATCTATCCCTTGTCTGAACTCATGGATTTTTTAGTCTCTCTCTCTACCATCATTATCATCTTCATCGTCATCATCATCACTCCTTGGATAGAGTTTATCATAGGTGTGTCTCCATCGTTGTACCTACCAGAGAAACTGCACATTATCAGGCACTCATGTAAATGGTTTGATGTACACTCAATTTATAACCTATGGAGACATTCAAACAGGCAGAATTCTAAGAAGTGATACCCAGAAATATTCATTTTTAACAATTTTCCCAAATGATGCCTGTGTAGACAGGCCTGTGTACAGTCTCAACAAACAAAAACCCTCACGGAACAGTTCACTGCAGAAACCCATCCACATAACCAAGAAAGGAGCACATCTGTCTCCAGCAATAAATCTGATTTACAACTCAGGGCATCCACTAAAACAGGTATGTGTTTAAAAGCAGTCCCTGTGATATTAAGTGTAGGAGAGAATTAGTAATAAACATTAAAATCTAATTTCTTGGCACATTTGGAGCCAACCTAGTTGCCAGAATGGGTAGATGACAGTGGCAGTAGAAGTAATGGGGAAAAAATGAAACATGTCTCTGAATCGGGATGTTCTATATCCATAATCTAGATGGATGGCAAAGGCCAGCCAACAGCTATGGCCATGAAGCACTTGAAAAATGATTATAGTGTAAACTAGAATCTCTGTGACAGTTGTAATTGAATAGCCATGCGTTTTATGAAACTTAAACAAATGATATTATCTAGATGCTATTAATGTGCTCATATGAGCAGAAAATGATACATCTGCATCTTGTAATATTTCAACATGTAGGGGAAATCAAGGTGTTATCCTGCCCTTAGCTTTCCAGTGGGGTCACTGCTCTCCCAGAGTTTTAGAAACATGATAAGAAAATATAAAAGGTTACATTTCAAAAAATAATTAAATGCAGACTAACACAATGCCCAGGCCTTCCTGCCTATCCAGCAGTTGCCTGGCTTAAACTCTTATGTGTAACATAACTGTCCCTTGTCAAGGGCTGTGTGGGTTTTTAATAAAATGTTATCTTATGCTATCATGTCCTCTGTGGTGAAAGCTGACTAGTTCACATTCTTTTTCAGGTGTAATAAAAATATATCATCACAGAGATATTAGAAAATTAATATTCCTAGACTTCAGTTGCTACCACTGGGTATGTTATGAGTGGATGTGGGAGGGGACAAGAAACTCAGAAATTCAGCCTAGGTTGTGGTCCATCATGAAATCTGCCCTGCAATTTCACGTTGAGAATGTTTTCCACTTGAAGGCAGAATTAACATTGGTCCAAATGCTTTAGAAAATACAGTGTCATCTGAGCCACCTCTTTATAGATGCAGATGCCACATCGCAGAGTGTGGAGCTCTGAACTGTAAAGTGAAATAAATTGTTGCAATAACATTTTCCATTTAGGGATGAAATTAGTACTAGTGAAATTCTTCCACAGCCAATAAATTTATCTGTCTCCTTAGTCTCTTGTTGCCTTATTATCTTCACTGTAATCATTTACAAGTCTTTCATGAGTAAAGTCACAGCAGTAGTATTTTACTTTCCTTCTGTTTTCCCCCCAAAGAAATTTTTTCCTCTATAAATAAGTAGGCTGATTGACAGACACATGGATCTAGTGAGTTTTGGTAGTTATTAAGTCATTATGTTATTATGATAATTAATAGCAGATATCAAGATATCTAAACATATCCCTTTCTCTGATATGATTAAATGAATGCTATTCTTTCATAAATATGCCAGGGACTAGCAATGAGGTTTTCTTTAGCTTCTGCTAGGTTCTTTCTTCTCCATTTTGTCTAAGATACCTTGGGACCATAAAGAGACCCGAAATAACCATGGGGTAATTGGCCTGAGTTGGCCAGGCCAGAGAATGTACTAGAACTCTTGGGCACAGAATTATCAAGGGGATGATCAGATGAACAGTTCAAGAAGAGAATACAAACATGCATCAGGTTGGAAATAGCTCATAGTTAAGATACAGGAGATATAGTTCACCAAGGCAATGGCAAAGCAGTTGAGTCAAACTGGGAGAAAACTTTATATATATATATATATTATATATATATATATATATATTTAAACTATAATATATGTATAATGTATTACACATGTGTAATATACATATAATGCAAAGGAGATACCACTACCTAGGGCAAGCTACCTTTTCTTACCAAGTTTACCAAGTTTTTTATTCCTTGAGTGACCTTATATCCTGGGTTATATCTTACAAGCTCTAGTTGTACTTCTTCTTATTCAAGTGTCTTGGTTTAGAGGAGGACATTTATAGTATCTTACTCATACGTTGCCTCCCTGTCAATGGGGACAGTTAACAATAATTGGGTAATGTAGACCCCAACAGTGAGAATTGCTAACTGAATGTTTAATCAGATGAAAGAGTTTTGCTGACAGTATTAGTAAGATATTGTTGTGTAACAAACAACCCAGACATTCATTGTCTTAACTATATGCATTTATTGCTTATTTATCTGTGAATCATCTGAGTAGACTTTCTGGCTTTGTCTATGCTCAGTGTTGGTCTGCAATCATCTATGGATTATTGGCTGATCTTGTTTCTTTTGCCTGAAGAATCTAGAACCCTTGGTTAGGGTAATTAAGCTCTCCCCCGCATAATCTCTCTTTAAGCAGACTGTCCTGGGCTTGCTCACGTGTCAATGAGAGATTCCAGGAGACAGATGAAAAGTGAAAAAAACCTTAAATCTCTCACATGAACCATCATTTCTATTTCATTCTGTTGCTAAATCAAGTGATGGTGCTAGTCCAGAATCATGGAGTGAAAAAACAGATTTCTCCACTTGGTGGGAGAGGCTTCAAACTCAAATTGCGCAAGACTTGGACACAGAGAGAAGTAGAACATTAATCCAGCAATACAATTAATATACAGGAGACTCATCTCTCTATTATGAGAGGCTTGGAAATGCGTAGTCAGTTTAGAAAATTCTCCTGGCACCATAACCAGATTGAACAATCAAGAGGCACATTCCATTGTTTTGTTTTGTTTTTGCAACCCAGAGAATATAAAAGTTAGGCATACTCTAAAGATAGAGACTAGATGCTTTATGAGTGACAGCAAGTGGGGCTGACCACTGGGACTCTGAAGCTGGTAGACAGAGTAATGACCTGTGTCCCTTGTTACATGTGTCAATTTGAGAGGTATACTCTCAAAGGCATATATTTTTTTTAAGCATATCCTAGGAAACTGTGTTTTCACAGGTACTCCAGGTGTTTCTGATTCAGATAATCTATAAATAACACCTGAAGAAACAGTTCACATATTAGCAGGCTTAATCCTTACTTTCAGCCCTAGGAAATCAAAAGGCATCCATCACTTTCTATTGGTCACTGGACCTGGTCTTTGAGGTACCATGTAGTCATTACTTGGCCCAGTGACCTCAACTCCCTGTGGCTGGATATACCTGAAGACTCATCCTCCCTTTGACACAGGCAGTGACACTTTACTGGCCACTAGGACCCCCTGGGAACTCATACCCTGCCCAGCCTCCAGGACTGTGGTTTGATCTCAATGGGAGATGCCATCCTTGAGACTCATGATTGGGCTGAGATTTCAACTGGAGTCCCTTGGAGTTCTGTCACACCCACCTTTACCATATGCATGAATAATGGCAAATAAACCTCTCAGCACTTTCTCCCAAGCTTTTCCCTTGTTTAGGTTGCAATTGGAGAGGGATTAATTTATGCTAATTCCGCACAACAAGCTAAATCATATTTATCACAGGTTTCCATTCGTCAGCAAAACACACACAAATGCACCTAAGTGTTAGGCAAACTAAAATATGCAGCTGCTGTGGAGCAGAGAAATACAGGGTGCAGATCAGCCAGAGGACACCACCCACAGAACAGAGACCAGTGGTCCCCAACTTCTCACTGCTGCTGGGGCTACTTCCTGTCTGCCTGCCTCTTAGAAGTGACTGAGTGATGCAAAGATGATGAGTGGTTCCACGGCACACATTTCTGAACTGAGGATGCAGAAGCTCATTTTCCCAAAATAATATGCTAATTACTTAACAGTGTTAATGCTGCTTGTTTACAAAGGATGATTTGAATGGAAATGATTGAGAACTGAAAGATCTAAACTTATGATGGGGAGATAACAACCCTTTCAAACAGGTTTAGTATTCTGCCTGGTTGCTTCATCTCACTGATATCCTACTTATTATTTAACTATCAAGTTAGAAAATAGAAGTTTAGCTAATCCAGTTAACCTGCATCTACCTGTCCTAAGCATCTGTGGCTCTATCTGAACCCCCATTTGTTCCCTCCTATCAAATTAAGGGTTTGCATTAGAAGGATTACCTTTAAAATACTTTCCTGGTGTTATTTCTGTAAGTGTGCTAATGATATTATGCTAAAATCAAGACAGAAGGGGAAACCTTACCTTTTAGAGTTACAAATGAAATTATGACACCAGAGATTGCTTCAAAATAATGCAGTGGTTTGGGATTATGGGGACTGGATGAGTTTAGAAATAAAATATTTCTAAATATTATCTCTACAAATGTAAGTTATCACACTACACCCACAAGTCCCGATAGACCCCTACCCCTTTTGCTTCTACCCCACGCCCCCTCTGGTATCCTCAGTTCTGCAGTCAGATTTCAAAGGTTTATTTTGTCTATTCCTTTGCTTAGTTTTTTTATGTTCCACATGAGTGGAATCATCCAGTGTTTGTCTTTCTCCTTCTGACTTATTTCACTTAGAGCAATCCCCTCCAGTCCCATCCATTTTGGGAAGAGTTCATTTTTTTTTTTTTAATAGTTGAGTGCTGTTCCATTGTGTCTACACCACATCCTAAGCCTCTTCAGTGTCCTTGTGTACTTAGGTGATTTCCATAACTTGGGTAATATGATTATTGCTGCAATGAACATAGGAATGCATGTATCCCTTCAAATGAGTGGTTTGTGATCTTTGGATAGATTGCTAGGCAAGGGATTGCTGGATCCTAAGGTAGATCTATTTTTAATATTTTGAAAAAACTTCCATACTGTCTTCCTTAGAGACTGAACTAGGCTACAATCCAACAGTCTGTGAGAACTGCTTTTCTCCCCCAACTCCTTTGCCAGCACTTGGTATGTCTAATCTCTTTGATATGAACCATTTTCAAAAGTGTTAGATGGTATCTCATTGTGGTTTTGATTTGTGTTTCCCTGATAATAACTGGCGATGATCATGTTTTCAGGTCCCTGTTGGTTATCTATATGTCTTCTTTGGAGAAGTGTTGATTTAGTTCTTCTACCCCTTTTCGATTGGATTTTTGTTTTTGTATGGTTGAGTTGCATGCATTCTTTGTAGAATTTTATTTTCACAGAACTATATAATTCAATAAAAATTCATAACATAGTCTGTGCAATTCACGGGTTGGTTTAGGAAAGGGGAGGAAGGCAGAGAGGAGTAAGGTGGAATCTATTACCCAGAAGTAAAATAAATGTTCATAATATATAAGCATATACATACACACGTTTATACACATACATGACATGTACATATATACATGTCATGCAAGTTTGAATAGATGATCTTTGATCCTAACTTCCCTCTAAAACTTAATATTTTAACTTGTGTCACTTGTTTAATTTTGTATGATTTCATAAAAATCAATTTTGAAATTTTTTAACTTATTTGTATTCAATTGAGTAAACTAAATTTAACTATTTGGATACCTTCATTGTATATTACCACCATAGTGTACCCACCACCAAATCACCCATAGTTCATCACCATAGTCCATTGTGCTTCCTTTCCCTCTTTGTTCTTATCCCTTTTTAAATTTCTGATATCTCCAACTGCAGTTGGTCCAGGGATGAGTATACAGAAAATGAGTGTGTATGCTCTTCTATTTATTAGTTCAGAAATGACAGTAACCAATAAGAACTTCTTTTCTGTTCAGTGGAAATCATTGCTCCTTTCTTCCATGTGAAAGTCAATTGCGATAACATCCATGACAAATCAAAATTCTTCTCTTCCCAACTCCTTTGCTAATGTCACCGTATTTGCCTAAGTAAATGAAAAAGACCTTCATTTTCTAATTCAAATTGAAAGCTCATTTGCCTTGGGCATCTAGATGTAGCAGAAACACACCCACCTGCTCACAGGGACTCACCCACTCCCACCTCACAGCTAAATGCTGCTTGACATACAGAGGAGAGAGAGTGACAGGGGTCTGTCCCTTCAATGGCTCCTGAACGTCCATTCCACTGAAACTAAGGCTTTCTTCTGTGAAAAATTGCTTAACTTTTTTTCACCAAGACTCTTTGGCATATGGAATTACTTTCTAGTATACGAGTGGCCAGAATGTAATCCTACAAAAAACAGACAGAAAAAAGCAAGCACGAGTCTTATCTGCACTCCGGCCAAGTGAACTTTTGTACCTGGGTGACCAGAACTTTGCCCTCTTGGCTCTCAACAGAGAAAAGTCACAGGAAATGGTGCTGAAAGGTCACCCACATCTGTAGGTATCGGGTTTGCTTAAATTGATGGGAGGTACAGGTGGATATCCAGGCTTCTATGGGGTACATGTGGTCTTTTATGCTTGAACTGTGCTTGTTAACAAAATGTCAGTTATTCAGAAGGTGAAAATTAATTTCAAAGTCATTAAAGTACAGCAGGTTTAACCCTGAGATGGAAGAAGGTTTAGAGGTAGAGAAATATGTTCCCTGGAGATGCATTCTAAAAGGGAACTCAGGGAGAGAGAATTTTTTGTAGATGTAAAGGCATCTGTCTAGTCCAGGAGAACACACTGCATTTGAGAGACTTGTGCTTCCATGCAGAGTTTTCAGGGCTGTGGGAAATTGTAGAGACAACATTGGATGGCAACCCCTCACCACAGAAAGGCTGCCTTTGTAAAATATGCAACCATCACTTCCTGCGTGTAAAACAATATAAGCATGCTCATAAGTCTGTTTATTCTCTAACCTGACAACTGCCTGGGTAGGAGAGGGATTGGATAATTCATTAAAAATATTCCTGTTGATGGTTCTTCTGTTTATCTGCATTGCTCAGCAGGATAAGCTTGCTTTCAGAATACAGGAAATTTAATTATTATGTTTATTACATTATTATACATGTTCATTACAAGTAACTGCAACCATAGCAATAAAGACTAACACTTAATAGAAGATGTGCCTGATACTGTTATCTCTGCTTAACATACATTAACTCATTTGATCCTCATGAACATCCAGCGCAAGACGTATGTTATTCTCATTTCCCCACATAAGGCACATCGACGTGAAATCACTTCACCCAGGATCACCCAGTCGGCACATGATGGAATAGGATTTGAATACAGGCAGGTGGGATCCATAGTCTGTGCTTCAAATTGCTCCATGCCCTTGTTGAAGAGGCCAACTGGTGCACTCCAGGGTCTAAGCCAGGCTCATGGCATCCACACACCAGCTGCGTGTCAGGCCTATTGTGCAGTTAGTCTGTGGGGACCCTGAGCCTCCCCTTACCTCTCTGTGAGAAGCATAAGCCTCTCCTGCATCGCGCCTGCAAGTCTCTGCTCATGACCATGCCTCATTTTCTCTGCAGCCCCCTTGGTGGACCTCACTCCGACCCACAGTGGCTCTGCCATGTTGATGCTGCTCTCAGTGGTGTTCGTGGGGCTGGCGGTGTTTGTCATCTACAAGTTCAAGAGGTACGTGACCCTCATCCATGCCTCCCCTGCCCCTCTTCCCTGACAGGTTCAGAAGCCTGTGTCATAGTTCTCCCGTGCACAGCAGTGATGGTTTCTGTTAATGTTTTAGGAAGATCCCGGGGATTAATGTTTATGCCCAGATGCAGAATGAGAAAGAACGAGAGATGGTCAGTCAAGTCAGTCACACTGAAAGCAGGCCTCCTGCCCCTCAGACTGGACTGAGGAGGCCTGGCCAGCTGATAGATGAGAAGGTGGAGTCACGGCTCATAGGTAAATGATTCCTGTAGCTCTCAGCTGTCTGGCCTGAGTAAGCAGTGGCTGACTCTCTCTCTCTAACCCCTCTCTGGCTTGACATGACCACTTTCTTCTGCTCTAACATCCTTGAGAGAAATATCTGAGATCTCACTTCCCTTGCTTCCTTCCATTGGAATGAGAAAAAAAAAAAGCCTTCTTGCTCCTATTTAGTTTTTCTTTTGCATTAGTTTGTTTCTCTTTTTGCAATGACCTTGTAGAAATAATGGGCTTCTAATGTTCATGGGTGAAGAGCAAAGCATTTGCTCTACCAATGTGCCAGGAGGCCTGAGCTGGTGGTCCTGAGGGTCAGGCAGGGTTGGAAGGTCAGGGAGTGTAATGAGCAAGATGAGACATGGGCAGCCTGTCCTTGAGACAGCTCTAAGCAGGGCCACCTGCTGCAGGACACTGCAAAGCAGTGACTTGTGAGGGTGTGATAACCTGGCCACCTGGGGAATTTTTTTCAATATAGCAATAGTCTAAAAACAAACTATTTCCTCACAAAACACATAACCTGAGAATTTTGAGGACAAGAATCTTAGAGTTTGCAGGACATCCTGGGAGCAGGCTTCCTAAGAAAGACCACTGAGGGTTAGAAATGAGACTATTAGAAATCAGTTTCTTGGCTGATTTCTCCCTCCTGTGAAGTGTCCCCAGGCAGTCTGAAAACGGACTTCATCATTTTTCAAGGAGCTCACTCTTTGCCTGTGGAGTGGGAAGCATGGGGACTCAGCAGCTGGGTATAGAGTCTGATTTTGATTGCTCAGTTCTACTATTTACTGCAGAGACAATTGTCCAGGAAGGTAGACCAAGTCTTGGAGCCACCCTTGCTGACTCATTTATCTCCTTGTTTCCTCCTGCCTATTGGCATCATGAGTTGAAGCTGTAAAGGCTGCCCTCCACATCCTGCATTGCTGACTATGACGGATAATATAATAATTATTATATAATATTATATAATATCATTAATTATATAATAATTATTATTATATAACCAGTCATGCTTCACTCTAATGAGATAAATGCCAGACCACCTAGAAGACCCTTACATAAGATTTTTAATCTGATGCTTGGGCAAGAGGGTGGCTAAGAATAATGAGTCCCTTAGTGGACTAAGGGACTCTCTTTAAATGGATACAGGAGGGCTCTATGGCTGTATTGAGGGGAAATCTAAATGCAATGACTAGCTTGTGTAGGAGGTATTAATCACAACTGCAGCCACATCTGGTATCCAATTTTCACTGTGCACTTTTATTTGGGGAGACAGGGTGATAAATGCATAATTGCTTTGGGTTAAAAAGAAAAAAGTCTTTTCTGTCTGCAAGTCCAGAGAAGCATGCACCCTGTCTTTTCACTTCTAAAGTTTCTAAGTGTGTTTTCTGTGGGTCATTTGGTTTTCAATGCCATCCCCACGGGGTATGAAGCACAGCCGCTGTTGACTTTATTAAAGTAGCAATCCCTTCTTCACCAGGACCATCTCGCAGCCCATTGCAAAGTCTCTGACACCTTTCCATTTCCAGTGTCATTAAATGAGTAAGTGTTACACGTTTTCTCTTAGGAGAGTAGCTTTACCCTCCCCTCCCTCCCCTTCTACTCAACCTGGTGACTCATCTCTCCGGTTGCAAAGAGCAAGACACGCCACTCCACCTTCAACGCCAAAGCGGGGATCTGCTGGGGCACAATTTGCAATTTAAGGAAAACCCCCAAAGGCTACAGGCGACCTGCTGATCAGGAAAGAATTTCGCTCTTGTCAAGTGCATCATCCTTCATGACCACTAACTTTGTTTTTTTTTTTTTTTTTTCTTTCCTTTGTTGTTCTGTTTCCTATTTTGCCAGGAAGTATTTCCATAGTTGCTGAGAATCAAAGCACAAAAGAAATCCCTACCTATGTAAATGTTTGAATGGAGGACGCCAGTAAAAACAAAAAACAAACAAAAAATAAAATAAAAACAATCAAAATCCAAACAAACAAACAAACAAACACTCACTGCATCGGGACTTTTTAATTCTTCAGACACAGACAACAAGGGTTTTTAGCTTTAAGCCTGTGCATGTGGACAATACTTTGAGAACATGCTTGGAGGGGCAGTGTCCAGGTGCTCTATTTTAATGGAAAACACTCCCCTCCCCTTCCTTCTTCTCTCTTTTTTCTGATCGGTCGTGTTTGTAGAGAATTCATAACATATACAGGCCAAGGAAATCTGCATGTATTTTTGGAAATATTCTTGGCTGTAGATTTAACAGCTATTTTAGCAGTACAGGCTGATGGGTGGATTAGCCACTTCAGCCCCTTTCCTAAGACACAAAGACATGCACAGGAGTTTGAAACCCTGAGCTGTTTCTCTGGTCCACCCCCCGTATTGCCATTTCCCCTCCTATGTTATCTTTTGTAGCTCTGCTGGCCAGCAATGGCCACCAGACTGCTTTCTCCATCCTGTGAGGCCCCAGGGACAAAGAAACAAGTTGAAGTTCAATGTATGCAGGCAGAATAGGGAAGGGGAGGCAGGGGAGGCGAGCATGGCAGAAGTGGACCTTTGTTTCCTGTTTGCCCCTTCCACCATAACTGCTTCCCCAGGAAGCTTTCCTGCTGCCCCAACTTCGGTAGAAAACCCCCTTAGTCACCCATGGTCTGGCCTTCCCGTTGTTTGCTGTCCACATGTGGTCATGATCTGTTGAATGTCTTTGTATATCTCTTCCTTCCAAGAGCCAAGATATCCTTTAGCTCCTCCAAACTTTGCCTCCTGAACATGATGCTAGATCCTGGGCATCACCTGATGTTCCCTGACTATGACCTCGCCTCTGCCAGCCCTGCCCCCACCACCCGCAAGTTTCTGATCTCTGTCAGTTTTGTACACTCACAAGCATGCCAGCTCCCCTCCACCCTGACCACTGCCTTGCAGGGTTCAGTTTCATGCACCCTTTGCCTCTTCCTGAAGAACCTCCCCCTTCCAAATATCCTTGTCTTTTCCCACCTGGAAACATATAATGTGTGAAAGAGTTGATATATGCAAAGCAATTCAAACCTGGCCATGTACAATTGGAAAAAAAAGGGTATAGATGTGTCGTGGTGTTCTCACATCTTAACAAAAATCACGTGCAGTCAGATTCTAGAAGGTTCTCTGAAAAATATTTTGAAGATATTTCTATATGACAGGGCAGTTTCCCCCTGTGATGGTTGCTGTTGCCCAGTATTTCTTCTCTCATAGTAAAGTAAAACCATTTGTAAAATAAAACTAATTTTAAGCAGCAGAAGAAGCATGGCTTTATTGTTCCAGGGTGTCACAAAGTCGGCGAATATATGCAGGTCTTGTCTTACATTAGGATGAGATTTTAATAATGTAAGATGGTCCCAGTTCTTTCACACATGTGCACTCCTGCCCTCTAAACATCATAGTATCTGCAAAGGAAAAAATAACTAAGCATAAAGGGGAGGAGTTGATTGACTCAAAGCAGGAGGAAATTCCAGTTTTCCCCAAGCAACCATGAAAAAGGAAACAGAAGCACTTCCAGAGAATCCCTTGAAATATTATGGATAGGTCAAATCCCAATGTAAAATTGAGATACAAGCAATTTTGAAAAACTACTTGGAGAGCTCAGTGTCCTTCTGGGCTGTGTCCCCAAGCCAACAACAGAGTGTGACAGGATGGACCATAATATGCATCCAGGTTTATCCTGAGGATGTAGGAAATAATGGTGGGGACCCCTGCCTGGTGTAGCTCAGGCAAGGGAAGATGAACAAGGCTGCGGTCAGAAAGCTAATCCGTCAGGAGCCTGTATGGTTGAACATGCCCAGTGTGAACCTGGGAAATGGATTATGCCTGAGACCTCCATCTATTTGTAGAGCTCAATTGATCCACAACCTGCCAGGCTTCCTGCCCAATGGGGAATATCCCCATTGATCCTCTGCAGTTGGAGGGCGCCATGTTTAATTTGGAAAACAAAGGATTTGGAAGCCAAAAGAGGCTCACTCTATAGCAAGGGAAGTCCTCAGAGTTGTGGGTCATTTCATTTTAACTGGCAAATTGTGAGAAAGGAAGTAATGCTCTTAATCTAGCACAGTGCCTTGCCTAGAGTAGGTATAATGAAAATTATCTGTTGGAGGAATAATGAAGGAATACATGAGAATACACAGGGAAGATGGTGTAAGTCCTAATTAAAAGTAGAGGTGGACATGAGATGCCTGGCATTTGGGAAAGTGACCAAAGCTGCCAGCTCCAGATTCAGCATCTCCAGTTTCCTCCTGTGCCTCTCCCCGCAGTTGCCCTCCCACCTGTAGGAGATCAGGGAGGCAAGGTACTGCCCAGGGGGTCCTCACTGTTCTTAGGGTCTAGCGCTGTGGTTCTCAACCCATGGTACCTGGACCAGCAAGGTCAGCATCACCTCAGGCTTATCAGGAATACAATCCTTGGATCCCACCCCAAAACTAATGAATTAGAAATTCCAGGAGTGGGGCCCAGTAATCAGTTTTTGTAAGTCCTTCAGGTAATTGTGATGTATGCTGGTTTGAGAACCACTGTTCTAGGCCATTCCAGCTCGAACCCAAAGAGAAGGCAGCAATGAGAGCCTACAAATGGGAGGGACCCAAGTGCCTACCTCCTCGCTAGCAGCAGGTGCAGACACAATGAGGAGTTTGGTGGAAGTAAGGCCACAGGAAGAGGGGTGAGGAGGATGTGAAAGGTCAGTTTCAGGGCATGCTAAACATCTGATATTGCAATGTTTCCCCAAATCCCAGAATACCCTGAGCTATCCAGCCAACACTTTCTCCTTTGCCTTATTCCTAATTGGATTCCCTGTCCAAAATGCAGAGGTTTGCTTTGCTTTTTTTCAGAAGTTCCAAACAGCAACTTTGAAAGCAGTGGGGTGCTTGGCAGCTGTTCTGTGTTTTCCAGGATTCCAACTGAGCATTGAAATCCCTCATTTGCCAACTTATTTTTATAGGAAGCCAATTTAAAAAAATAAATGAAAGTTTTCTTATAGTATCGGAACTACTTCTAATTTTAAAATGACTTTTTTGATGTATTTTTGGTTAAATACTATGTAGTGTAATGTATAATTGCTCTTGTTTATTGCTTTTACAATCATATTTATTAAACAGATAATGTCTCTAAAGTCTTTGCCTCAAGGTGTTTATTTCACTTCAAACCTTAGTGTTGGGTGTGGACACAAGAGCAGTGTGCCTATAGGATTTCACGAAGACTAATTGCATGAGAATACAGCAGACACTGCACGCCTGAGAGTGATTTTTGCTGTTGTTTTGATTTTTGCTTACAAAGTAGAATATATTCTATTGCCTCAATTTTGCCTACATTTCAGCTGATACTACCGTAGTTGGTGCTTTATTCAGTTACTGTATTCTACATTAAAAATCAATCCAAAATGGTTTCCTTGGATATGCAACATGCTAGTTATTATAAGTTTAAATTTAGAAATTCTGTTGCTATGGAACAAACCCCTAATTTTTTTTTCCAAAACCTGTGGGTAATGAACTGAACCTTGGGAGGTAATATAGGTTCAAATAATGGTGTAAAGATGACTCTGGACCTGAAATCATGGGAGAGAAATTCTGCTGCCAGCTGTGCCAGCTGTGGCCTTGAGCAAAGCATTTTGGCAAATAGAAGTTTTAGGGTCTTTGTACATGTCATTTGAAGGGAAAGGACATCTTCCAGTCCTGGCATTCTGGGTGGTGAGTCATTCACAAGAGTCCCAAATAACTGATTTAAACTTGGCCAAAATAGAATGATGGTCTAAATCCAAGTGTTTCCAGACCCTGCTGAGATATCCCCAAAGCCTAATGTCTCAGAGTCTTGTTGACTCTGTTCCAGGGTCAGCTTGCAGGAAAATCCTTTTACTTTGAAGTGACCTTTAACCTTTCTTTGCCCACAGGTAAATCTCCTGACCCTTCATCCCTTTCCATGCTAGGCCTCTGCTGTGCATCCCCATTAAGAGCAATTTCCTCCTGTTTCAGTCAAGGTAATCAAACAGACCGTCAGAAATCATCCCTGGAAATTTTAAATACACGGCATTTATTTATTTTTTAAAGATTTGTTTATTTATGCATACAAGAACTGGGGTGTAGACCAGAGGTGTGGGGGGTGAGAGGATTCACCAGAGACAGAGTGGGGAGCAGCATGTGAGACAGGGGAGGTCTGCTATGCCATGTGGATCAGCTACCTGGCCAGGGATCGAACTCATGCTATAGTGGCTGGCAGTAGCTTGATAGTGGTGGGACTTAACCCCTTGAACCACCAGAGAGGCCCATACATGGGATTTAATAAAGGGAATTTGTTGCTTTGAGGAACAGAAGAACAAGATGCCAGCTTTGCAGGAAGGTGAAGTGGCTACAAGGTTAGCATCACAGGGAACCTCTACCTTGCCAGGCTTGGAAGGCCCAAGTGTTAGAGAGCCCAGAATCACGGCTCCTACTCTGCAGCAGAGGCTGGAGGACATGTGCCAGAGACCTGAGCGCAGCCAACGGTACTGCCCAAGCAGAGGAGCAGCACGAGGGAGCTCACCTTTCCCATGCTGGGGTGCTCCCCAGACCAGCAGAATCTCCCCAGTATCCAAACCCAGCCTGTGGCAGTGGGGTTTGGGGAGTGCAAGTTACCTGAAATCCAAAGGAGCAGAGGAGAAGTGTGCAGGGAACTGGGAGGGCACAGACAGGTGCCGACATGGCCCCTCTTTCAAATCCAACCCACAACAGACTCAACAAACACATCGCCCCCAAACCAAATGCATGTCTTTCTCAGTGACATCCTTTCAAATATTCCCTCTAAACAGCACATATTTGGAATGGCTTTGTGTTTAGTACCCCTTTCTCGCTGAATTTTGTACAAACTCAGGAGAGTGTTTCTTTTTCCTCTCACTCCCTCACTTGTAACACTAGGCATTGCCATCAGGGGGCGCTAGATAAGTGCCGAAACT